CGCTGCAAACTCATCACTGCAAAATTCTCCGGCGCTGTCAGACATCAGGGTCTTTGGAGGTCCTGCCCAATTGAACCAGTGAGATACCATCTTATTAGATACTTCTTTGGAGGTTCCTTGCTCACATGTAAATGCCACTTGAAAATTGGTTCCCGAATCTATCATGTGGTAGAATGTAAATTGCATCCCTTGCTCTGATGTCCACTGTACCGCATCAATGGAAACCATGTCATTGAAGGCCTTGGGTTCTCCGAGATGGCTTGGTCGGGATATCTTTGGCTTTTGGTTCTCATAGCATGTGGGACAGTGCATGTCTTTAATCCCCTCGATAGCTTCTGATTCCCAACCCTGGTCTCGGAGTACATTGCCTAGTAGCTGGGCATCTGGGTGGCCCAAGTTGACATGCATACGCCGAAGCTGCTGCTTCTGCTCAGTGGTTAAACTGCGGAACTTGGGTCCATGCTGAGTCACGTCATCAGCTTTGCGGTCAGAGCTATGCTGTAGGCTCGCATCTAACATCTCGCTGTGGGAAGGCTGAAAAGCTTGTACTGGCTCAAGGCTATTGAATCTCTCAAGAGGATTTCGGATGCACATTCTTTTGTTGTCGGGTTCTTGAGGCATGTATGTTGGGGTATCAGGAGAAGTATTGGAATTTGGATCTGGATTTGTGGAGTTCGTGGCATTGGGAGTGCTCTTTGGACGGGCAAACACAGTTATCAACACTTTGGCAGGTGGGGCTTTACTGAGCATGTTCTTTCTAGTGAGTTGGGTCCAATTTTCCCAATGATCATCACAGAATGTCCCCTGTTGAATCCGGTGTATCCCCATGGTCAAACGAAGTGGTGCCGTTTCACGGGATATGTTAGGAGGTGGTGGTCTCCGACGATCAGCTCCTTTGCAGGCCTCGATGACTTTGATCTCCACACCAGGATACAAAGCTTCAGCCATTTGGATTGGATCCCCTTCGGTAAAGAATCGTTTCCCCACTCGAGGCGCAAGACTGGCCACGTGTTGGATGAATGCATTCCGGTCGGTTTCTTGTTGGAGCTGTTGATAGAAATTTGAGACAGGCTGTTTTCCAGTCAGTTTCTGGCGTTTCGGTGCCGGTGTCTGCATTTCATCCATGCGATGGCCCGCAAAAGCAAACTCTGGGGAACCATGCGACTTCTCTCGCACTTGGCTGATGCACTGGAAACATCTGGCCATCCGACTGGCAAATACTCGAGTATACAGTTCAGTAAATTGGGAAACATTCACCCTTCCTAGATGAGGATGGCGGCATGACCCTGACACTGTATCATGTTCATGGTCGTGTGAACATTGGTGTTTACTGATGTGTTGATGGAGTATGGGTGATGTGGTGATGATCTGAGTTCGTTTCTGAAGGTAACGGCCAGTTTCGGGATGCTTCAGGTGTCCGGCTTGGCACATATCGCATTTGGCCAGCATGGTCTGTTCCAAAATTGCTGCAAGCTCTTCTTGATAGAGCATATGAGATCCATCAGGTTGCTCCAAATGAGCATGGCTTTGCGGACTTCGCCACGTTTGAAACTGGAAAATTGCATCACAAAGAAGCAAATGAACTTGTTCATCTTGGCGACTCTCCATGATCTTACGTGCAAGTTCAGGAGACTTGGACATGTTGTACAGGTTCCACTTACACCATGCTTTGCACTTGGGAGACAACCATATGTTTCGGGGCAGCAAAAACGCCATGCGATCATAGAGGCGAAAACGCCCCTGCACTGTGGACAGATCTCCATCACGAAGGCAGAAACGGTCTGCCTGCAGACCCTGTGCTCTGGCTTGATTAGTTAATTCACTCTCGGGACTGCAATAGACCTCAAGCAGGTCATGATGATTCTGGGATAGCCTCTTGGGGTTTTGGAGAATTCCCTTACTGCTAAGGTACTTCCACATTTCTTGGGCTACCCAATTATTCTCACGAGCAAGATAGATGTTCTCCCCTACATCTACTTCAAGCATTGGGTCAAAAATCTTGTTTGGCTCTTGGTTGGCTTGCCATTGAGCGCAGAAGTCGGCAATCAAATGGCTATCTACGGTGCGGCAGGGCTGTTCGAGGCTGGGTGCCCCTGGTTCAGGTGCATCAGGATCTGGTTCATCATGTTCTCCAATTGGTCCATGCGATACTGCACAGCTGGCTCCATGGAGAAGACCGGTTCGGTGATTGCATCCCACGGTTCGGCATCCAAGGTCTCCACATCCTCCTCCTCGAAACTGGCTGGATGCCACGGATCGTGTGGCTGCTCCGGCATCTGAGCCTTGGCTTTGGCTGTTGCCTTGGCCTTTGCCATGGTTTTCGGACGGGCTAGGTTCATCTGTTGTTCGATCTGCTCCACATGGAGTTCTATGAACCGGAGGAATTTCACATGGGAAGGCTTCTGACTGGCTCGGTAGGTATCGGCGAACCACGTCAGATACCTGGTTTCGGAAATCATCTCCTGATACTTCTTTCCGACATGGGCTTTGCCGAAGTCGATGACACAGCCCTTGAGATCTTCCAGCTTCATATTCTTGATCTTGTCGATGGTCTCCTGATTGGTCCCTTCGTTCAGGGACAAACGACGGAGACGATCTGCCAGCTGATCGAATGACTGGGACGACGCCATGGTGTGCAGGTTTTTGGATGGATAACGGTTGTTCTGGGCAATCACCTGTCGAACCTTTGAGCCTTGCACTGTCAGGACATGGTGTGTGATCATGCTGTGTACTCGAAGCTTCATTGGTCATGCTCTGGGCTTCTTGGATGTTGAGGTTCTCAGAAACAACCCCACTCTCCACATTTGGTTCGTGACTGACACTCACCTGGGCTACGGCTAACTCCTTTTGCGGCACGTTCGGACGGGTGTCCAGAAGTTCGGCAAGGTCCAGCCGATAGAGCTTACGGTCCGTCAAGACCATTGGGATTGATCGGCCCAGCTTTTGGAAATGGATCAAATTAGCACCAGTGTCGATTATGGCTCCTAAGGCACGGAAAACACTATTGGCTATCAGGAATGGTGTGTTGGAGGGAAGTACCACCACCTTAATCCATTGCTGGCCGACTGGAAAAAACACGGCACGCTTTCCGGTGACTGTGCTATCGTTTCCAAAACGGAAGTTCACAGAGCATGGGGCCTCACGCATGTTCTGCTTGACATGTTTCGGTAGATGTCGGCAAAGTTCGACAAACTGGTCATGGCCTATGACTGACATGCTGGCACCTAAGTCTACTATTCCTGAGGACCCATGGGACACAAAACAAGCTGTTTCGACAGGATTTAAACTCCCGGTCACTGTTGGACGCAGGGGGTCAGCAGGTGGCGGCATGCTATCAGCTTTCTCCTCAGTCGTTGGGCTCTTCCTGCAAAGGGCTTGCAGTCGTCTGGTAAGATCTGGACGGATTCTCATCAACTGGGACTTCAATGGTTCTGGGTTCCAACTATATCTAACAGCACTTGGTGGAAAGAATCTGTTAGGCATGTATGGCTTACCATGACCCCATGACCCCTGGTTTGAACCGACTCTGACCTCATCGACCATGAAGGCAACGGCTTCCGACGGCAATTCATCGATCACATCTAACATCTCTCCATCTTGCGAGGCATCAATCACCACTCCAGCAAAAGCGGCTGGGCCAGGTTGGCTGCTTCCAGAAGGGACATGTTTATTCCTTTGGGGACATTCGGCTTTCCAGTGACCCTTCTGATTACAGATCCTGCAGGTGCTTTCAAGAATCCGTTGGGCAAGCGGCTTTCTAAACTGTGAACGGAAACCACCTTTGTGCTTTCCTCCCTTGCCTTTCCCTTTTACCCCCTTCTGAGGGCCCCAGAATCCACGACCACGAGCTTTGTCAAGCAACCTTCGCCGTGCATCAGCATAGGCATTGAGACATGAAGCTACCTCAGGATCACTCTGGAGGGACTCGATGATGGTCTCCTCAAATTGCTGGACAGTGAGTGCGTCTTCATCACCTTCTGCCATCAAGACTTCAAGAGCTTGATCTTCTGATGTTTCCATGGATACAAAAATCGATTCATCATGATCTTCAACATCTGGTTCACTTTCATCAACCAGGTTCACATCGTATGTTTTGGTTCGACCTGCAACCTTGACACCACCTGATTGAACTTCTCCGAAGAATTTGGAACCAAGCAATTGCAAAGCTGAGGTGACTTTGCCATACTCCAGTTCACCTTTGGCCTCAATGATGATTCTCTTTTTGTCTTCCGCTGACAACCCTGAGTTTCTCAGGAGTATATACGCCCGCATTTCTTCGAGCGTGGCTCCCATTCCAATCAGGTCTTCATACTGTACCTCATGTCGTGCTAGGTAACTCGTATGAGTCTCGTCAGCTTTCTGGATTGTTCCGAAAATCGCTCTTTCAAATCTCTCATATTTCTTTTCCACCCTAGACTGCCCCCAGACACCGCCGAGGGTAGAAACCACCAATTTCACTCCGTCGATGGAGGACACACGCAGCTTCTCAGGATCTAGTCGGACTACTTTGGCAAATGCAGACCCTTCGCACAACATGCAAGCTCTCGGTGCTAAGAGCGGCAAGTGTTCTTTCGGCCAGATATTCGCCAAAAACTCAAGACGTCTTGTGTATTCATTCACCTCTGTCTCACCTGGTTTGAAATTGGGAATCAAATGCCATGGTAGAAATGAGTTGGACCCACCGGAACTTCCACCTGACGTTGTCTCTGACGTCCCATCTGGACCAGACATAGCTCCTGGATCCCCTCACTTTCGCTAAACCACAGTGTTGTATCCCAGTAGCGGTGAGCACAATGGCTCCGCTACCAGTATGAAACTGGTAGCAAGCCCACAAGAATCTCAAACAGCACCAAAATGAAGGATAGTTGACCTCGAACCTCAAGGATGAATATTGGAAGGCCCCCTGACCTTTGGATTTGAATGGCCTCCTGGCCCCTGTCACCAAGCGCACACCGACGCCATTGTTTTGCCACCACTGCGACCCCCTGGTCGTATTGAGCCTAGATGTCATATGCATCCAGGTGACCACATGCGAATCCCTGCACTGGACATAGTTGGAGAAAGCAAAATATACACATACATACACATATATACACATATATACACATATATACACATATATATATACACATATATACACATATATACACACATTTACACATATATACACATATATACACATATTTACACATATATACACATATATACACATATATACACATATATGCACATATATACACATATATACACATATATACACATATATACACATATATACACATATATACACATATATACACATATTTACACATATATACACATATTATACACATATATACACATATATACACATATTTACACATATATACACATATATACACATATATACACATATTTACACATATATACACATATATACACATATATACACATATATACACATATATACACATATATGCACATATATACACATATAAAAAGAGAGGAAACAAGATAAAAAGAGGAACAGTAGAAAAGAGAAACAGAGAGACAGAGAGAGACACAGAGAGACACAAGAGTGATAAAAGAGACACAGAGAGACCACAGAGAGAACAGAGAGGACAAAGGAGAGAAACAGAGAAACACAAAGAGAGAGAGAATGAGAGAGACGGAGGGACACAGATATACACATAGAGACAAGAGAGACACAAGAGAGAACAGAGGGGATACAGAGAGACAAAAGAGACCAAATATAACAAAGAGATACAAAAAGAAGATATACACATATATATATATATATATACACATATATACACATGACACATATAAACACATATATACACATATAACATATATATACACATATATACACATATATACACATATATAAACATATATACACATATATACACATATATACACATATATGCACATATATACACATATATACACATATATACACATATATACACATATTTACACATATATACACATATATACACATATATACACATATATACATACATATATATATACATATATATATATATCGATGTATACACTAATTTTAATGGAACTCTTGTAGGATATTGTCCTATCACGACTACCACGAATTCGCCATGGTTCCCAGCTCCATCCCACCTGGCTGGAGGCTTGGCAGAGCTCGTTTTCTCTGCAGCCTCCAGAAATTCCAGGGAGCTGATCGGATGATCTTTACACACTCTTTTGGTTTACATGAAATCTTGAAGATTTAGAGATTTAAATATGGAAATCTATGATCTATGTAGATTTACATTGTCTTACATGATACCTACATTTCTTCCAGATTTAGGTTTTCCCACCAGAAACTAGTGCTTCCGCAAGCATCCGCCACCGTTCCCATGGGGACGTCACAGGCACCTGTTGAGCCATGTCCTTGATCTGGTCAAAGGGATTCTGTGGCGCTTGGCCACTCTTCATGTACCTGCTGTGGGACTCAGAAAACTGGCAAGTGGTGATTATAACCCATAGATGTTTCTAGGGCATATGCCATGATATAGTATAAGTGGGTGAACTAATCCATATAATAAGTGTGGTGATCATAACACATCAATATTACTATTGTAGAAGTGGGTTTGAAGGAAAATCTACAGGAAAACACTATATTTGGGGGTAAATAAATATAGTCATTGGACTCGGGTTTATATAACTGGTGAGCTACTATGGTTATCCACTTCGTAAGTGGGATGTACATCCACCAAATGGTTCCCAAACATAGCCGTCAGGACACAGGGAAAAAGAGGTTTGATAGTGGTCAGGATTAAAATCTTCAACAACCCAACATGTCTGGTTTCAGGTTGCCTTGACCGCCATCAATTTCATGCGCAGGGGTCCACGGTTTTGGGAACTTTGAGTCTTACCATGTCTTACCCATCTCCCCATGTTCTCATATTTTCTCGGGTCCCCACGTTCGATACATCTATACTCAGGGTTCCAGATTCTGTTCTTCATTCTTAACAGCATTTTGGATCATTTTGGTACCTACTTCGATATCTGAAGTCCATTGAAATCCCACCATTTTCCTCATGAAACCACTATGATTGTACCTTAAATCCCTAGTCCTTTCTCCAGATCCCACCATCAACCCCTGACAGTGACCATTGGCTGCCACGGCACCGCACGAATTGTTCATCTTTGGCTTCCAGCTCCTGAGCGTGGCTGAGGAAGACAATCCGCACTGCGGTTTGCATCTGAATCACTGTTAATCATGTGTATGTGTACATATCATTACATATCTATACTGTACAGTGCACATAGAGAGTGTGGCTGGTGTGCTGATTCAAACGTGGTTTCTTCATGTCATATTTATTGCCAGTTCATCTATCATTCATATATCCATTTAACCTTTGGTCTTCACGGCATAGATAATTTTGATCTACCGCAAATAGAGTTTGTGACTTGTGACATCCCCAGTCGCCATGGTCCGCTGAGGACCCGAACCAGTCCGCACATGGCACAGTTGAAGGGTTCGTTCTTAGGGGCACGTTGCAGGGCACCACAGCCTGCCACGTCGTGGGGGTGAAATCATCATGTTCTCCGGTTCCACCCCATCTCTCACCGTCGCGGGCAACTAGGCCTGGGCATTGGCCCTCCATGGTGGTGGCCTCAAAGTACCATTGAAGACCTCGGTTTTCCCCACCCGTTGATTTGACCATGAATCATTGGGATTGAACCATGAAATTTCTACCATAGCTGATGTACCTCAAGTTTTCATGTTCCCTAAAAAACCATAGCCCATTGTTGGGCTATACCCATTGTTTATGGGATCACATAGCCAAATTCAATGTGAAATAGCCGTTGTAATGGTACAATTGAGAGATGGCGATCCTGCCATAGCCCATATATATCCCATTTCCAGACACACCTCTGTGTGAAGTTTTGGAAAGTCAAGCCATTGATTTTTCTGTTTGGAGTGGCTAAGCCATGGTTGGGTCGATGTGAACCCGGAAGCCATGGTATCCATGGTTCCCCACCGAAGATGGCCGCGATGGCCAGCAGGAAAATGCCAAACTGCCGCCGTTGTGTCAGGGACGATGGATTTCACCACAAAAAAGACGATGGATAAAAATGGGGTTTATTCGACCAGCTGGAAATGAGGATTTGACCAGGTCCAAGTAGGGATTTTTCACAATCAAGTATATGACTGTAACTGGATTGATTGAAGGGACATCCTGATGGAAAGAGAAATAGTGGTTTCCATCCGAATAGCGGTCAGGTCCTGCAAGTTGTCTCCTGAAAAATAGCACAAACTGCAACAAGAAAACCGGAAAACATGGCTGCTTGGAACGGAAACTGGCTGTTGGACCTGTTGGACAACAAAAGCTGCCACAGTTTCTGGAAAAGGATGAGCCGTTGTTTTCTTCTGAACAGATCTGAACAGATTGCAACTTGCAGTCAGCTTCATTCCAAAGCCCGGTTGACAGTATGTTTAGCAGCCCATTTTGACACATCAGCAGCAGCCCATCCCCCAAAGGTTCCTACAAAGGGCCTTGAACATGTAGAACAAGTTGATCAAGCCGATGATGGGGCTTAGGATCACCTGGCAACGACCTACCTATCTTGGGTTTACCCAACTCAGCGGTGTCATGGTCATGGCCTGGTTCTGGGTCCCGAAAAGTCCATCAAAACCATCGGCCCTGGGCCAAGTTGCGGTGTTTTGTTTCGTCAAGTTGCACAGATCCAATTGGAAATCATCAAACATCTTATAGTTTTGATACCTCTGTATAGTTACCATCAATCATCAAACATCTTCATAACATCCCAATTGGAAATCATAGCTCTGTAATGTTTTGGTCTTCAACGTTTTCGCGGCGGTTCAGGTGAGTATGATTTTCGTACACTTCAGAATGCTGTTTTTGAAGTTGGAACATGTTGGAACCACTATGTACCGGTACTGGCCATGATGGATATCAGCCTTGAAGAATCCAAAAAAATGGATCGCCATCTGGCCCATCTGGCCTGCCATGGGCCAGGGATGAAGCTCAAAATGATGAGCCCAAAAAAGAGCGAGCCTCAGGGCGGCGATCAGGGCCCAAGCAAAGCCCCACGATCCACAAATGATCCACCTGGCTTTGTAAGTTTGTTTCCAACTCTGTTCATGGTAATGAATTAGGGTATAGTTTATAGATGTTTATAGCATACCTCTATGTTTTGGGCAAGCCTACATGTTGTGGTGACCTTCCGTTCATGTTTTCAGTATATCCCTCTGGTTCCATCCCCATGTTGCGGCCACAGCTTCTGAACCACGCAGAAATTGGTTGACCATGTACAGATTAAATGCACTTTGTTTCTTGTGGGTTAGACTGTTAGACTCAAGTTTCTTCAATCTTGCCAACATCCATTCTTTCGTCATCTTGAGTACATCTTTCATAAACCATACAAACATCCCCAAGGATCTGGAGGTTTCCTGAGTCATGGGGGTACCCCATTTCATCCAAGTCATGAATCACCATATTAGACCATTTTAGTGTTGAAAGCCATGGTGACTTGGGGCCCCATTAAAAAAAAAAAACATATTCTCACTATATTCGCCAAATTCTTCACCACTATCAACCATAGATTAACCATTACTAAACATTATTAACCATACATATGTTGAGTGTTTCATGACATAGGTACTGCACCCATTCTATCACCGTTTTCTCCACCACTGGGCAGGCACACCCAGCCACTCAGGCTCGGCCATTGGTCCCCTGAGGGAGTCCCAACATGATGTTTGGAACACGAATCAAAATTCGTGTATGTCGTGTATGTATAATATTATGTGTATAAATATAAAATACAGTACATGTATGTGTTCACATATTTATTTATAGCCATATGTATATACATATATATATATGTATATGTATATATGTATATATATATATATATGTGTTATTATGTTTATATATTATATGTTTATACATATATATATATGTATACATACACGTATGTAGATATGTATATATATATATATTCTATATATGTGTGTATATATATATACTGTATAGATGTACATATCATGGTTTAGAAAAACACCTGATCTGATGCTCCATCAACTGCCAACAACATCCACCGATCTAGGTGATCTGGAACATCGACCATGGCTCATCCGGCCCCAAAATTCAACAGCCCCTACTTGGTGGCTCATCCCACTTAGTAACTGGGTTATAACCCTAGTTATATATAACTGGGAGAAGTAGCTTCATCCACTTAGAACTGGGGTTATATATAAACACTTCCTAAGTGGGACGAAGCACGAAGTAGAAACCTAGAAACCATGGTGAAGGGAATGCAGGGGGTTATTACAGGGATTGGATTACAAACCAACCCCCAAAAAAAAACGACCCAAGGGAAAATTGGGAAATCATGACGGTCTTGGACACTGACGCTTTCGATGCTTTCAGACCTATGGAATCCTATGGAGATGTTCCTCTGGAACTAAAACCTGGAAATCACGACCTGAACATATGGAAACGTAAACCTATGGAAATCACTGCTAGTAACGTACCTGGTTCCTAGTTTGGCTGCTCCACTCTCATGAGCTGAGGAAGAACTCAAGCGATTGACAGGAAAACAGATCTCAAAGTTCTTAGGGATCCCTCAAAATCCGTGCTTGAAATATACAAAAGTACTCAAACATGGCTGTCTGAAAATTGCCGACTTCGATGATGATGATGTTGATTGTCCCATGTTTTTAATGTCGGCCTTTTATTTATCCATAAGTTGGCCTCCCCAATTTTCGACACGGGATCGCCATGCTGTCCTGCCACCCGGTCGGCCGCCACCAAACCTCGGTCGAAAAAACATCCCGACTGGTCACGGTGACTATGGAAGTGACGGCTGTATCGAAAAATGTTTGGTGCCTCATTGCCGAAATATTCATCCCGTTATTAAAAAAAAAAGCAGGTGTTTAATAATCATAGCATATCATAGCTATCATCCACAACTATCCGAATCGACCAATCGTCCAATCTAGTTGAGCCAGTGGTCGAAGTTGAAAACGGAGGGTTCTCAGATTGGATGAGTCCACAATCCTAATCCCCTTCAAATAAGTTTGGATGAACCATCAACCAACCATAATTTTCTGGGTCATATCCCACATTTCATGGTTAATCCATGGTTCATCCTGTTTTATTACCCTTCTTTGGCTATCAACCAGCCATCATGCCATCATGTCCGGATTTCACAAAATTAATATCAATTAGATCCCCATGTAAGTGTATATGTTATGTATTTTACCCGTGGCTCTTACTATAAACCAAGCATTCCAGTAATTCTTTGGACATTTGTCTCCAAGTTTTGGTGAGCCCAGAATTCAGAAGCAAGGACCGAGCGGGTATCAATACTTGGATTTCTATGGATTTGAACGTCAAACCAAAAGAGATAAAAGGTATACGGTATAGGTATAATATATATATATATACCAGTAGATCAGGTTATAAAAATCATCCAGTTCAGCTTACCACGAAAATGGTTTCCCTTGTGAACCTGCAACCGGCACAACTGAACAACAACTTTCTCTGAGAATGTGTCTGTCCCAGCGGTCCCAGCGGTTCTTTAGGAGCAAATCACGCACAACTCACAAGGACCCCACCACACCTGAAACTTTCCAGAGTAGTTGGAAAAGTCATTCCTTCTAGTCTGACGAAGCTCCGGTTGAATGTCAAGCTCCGAAGACTGCTTGGCAGGGCAACTCCGTTCAGGTCCTGGTAAAAATTACTGCCAGTATTACTGCCAAATGTCAAGATCTGAAGACTGTTTGGTAAAGTCACTCCTTGCAAGCTCTGATTGAAAGCGTGGCCGAATGTCAAGCTCTGAAGACTGCTTGGCAAAGTCAAGCTTTCCAGGCTCTGATTGAAATTGTCTCCGAATGTCAAGCTCTGAAGGCTGCTTGGCAAGGTCACTCTTTCTAGGCTCTTATTAAACATGTCGCCAAGTTTCAAGCACTGGAGACTGCTTGGCAGGGTGACTCCTTCCAGGTTCTGATTAAAGTTACTGCCAAATGTCAAGCTCTGAAGACTGCTTGGCAGGGTAACTCCGTTCAGGTTCTGGTTAAAGTCTCTGCCAAATGTCAGGCTCTGAAGACGGCTTGGTAGGGTCACTCCTTTCAGGTCCTGATTAAACTTGCGGCCAAATGACAAGGTCTGAAGACTGCTTGGCATGGTCACTTTTTCCAGGCTCTGGTTAAATTCAAAGCCAAATGTCAAGGCCTCAAGACTGCTTGGCAAGGTGACTCCTTCCAGGCTCTCATTAAAACTGTCACCAAATGTCACGCTCCGAATACCCCTTGGCAGTTTCAGATTCCGGTTAAAGTTGCTGCCAAATTTCAAGGTCTGAAAACTGCTTGGCAGGGTCACTCCCAGGTCCTGGTTAAACCCGCGGCCAAATGTCAAGGTCTGAAGACTGCTTGGCATGGTCACTCGTTCCAGGCTCTGATTGAAATTATCACCAAACGTCAAGCTCCGAAGACTGCTTGGCAGGGTAACTCCGTTCAGGTTCTGGTTAAAGTCTCTGCCAAATGTCAAGCTCTGGAGACTGCTTGGCAGGGTGACTCCTTTCAGGTTCTGATTGAAACAGCTTCCAAATGTTAAGAACTGAAGACTGTTTGGCAGGATTACTTGTTCTAGGCTCTGGTTAAACGGAAAGCCAAATGTTAAGGTCTTAAGACTGCTTGGCAAAGTGACTCCTTGCACGCACTGGTCAAACTTACTCTCAATTGTCAAGGTCTGAAGATTGCTTGGCAGGGTCACTCGTGACAGGCTCTGCTTGAACAAATAGCCACATGTCAAGGTCTGAAGACTGCTTGGCATGGTCACTTTTTCTAGGCTCTGGTTAAACTCAAAGCCAAATGTCAAGGTCTGAAGACTGCTTGGCAGGGTCACTCCTTCTAGGTTCTGGTTAAACTTGCGGCCAAATGTCAAGGTCTGAAGACTGCTTGGCATGGTCACTCGTTCCAGGCTCTGATTGAAATTATCACCAAACGTCAAGCTCTGAAGACTGCTTGGCAGGGTAACTCCGTTCAGGTTCTGGTTAAAGTCTCTGCCAAATGTCAGGCTCTGAAGACGGCTTGGTAGGGTCACTCCTTGCAAGCTCTGATTGAAACTGTGGCCGAATGTCAAGATGTTAAGACTGCTTGGCAAAGGCACTCTTTCCAGGCCCAGGTTCTGAATGACATCGTTGGCTAGCCCAAGACCTTCAAGAAGGTCTTTTTGGGGGTGATTTGCACCTACTATCTGGGTCACTCCCTCCAATGCAAGCTCTGCCTCGGAGACCGGCAATCTTTGGCCTTGGACAGCGCGCCACGCAACATAGAGATCTTTTGGAACATAAGTGCAAGAGAGTGTTGCAGCTTCGCCCACAATGCCTTGCTCCTGCAATGCTTTGTGCAGGATCAGCGGTGAGTTAAGGTGATGCAGTCGGAGTTTTCCACCTTTCCTCACAGGAAGTTGGTATGAAACCATCCGGTACACCTCCAGACCAGTACAGGAACCACTGAGTTTCAAGCTGCATCCTTCACCATTCAGGAATTGAACAGAAAGGTCGATGAGATCTGAGCCGCCACTTGGCTCTACATAACCGCCAGCATCACTGGTGGACATGAGCTCTTTCAGGGTCACTCGGTGGTCACTGGGCTTTGCCAGCCGCCATCAGCCGCCACTGCGGTGGATTCAGGTGGACCTTTGGGCTATTTCTTGGTTTCCACGAGCAAAACTCAGACATGGGGGAAGGGGTCAGCCACCCATATACGGTATATAGATTGTCATATTCCATAATTTGCTGGATGTTGAAGATTTTTTTGAAAAATCGAACGTTACATGCAACAGTTCAAAAATCAACCAGCCATAATCTTCGGATCTTTGAGCAACTAGTGCTAGTAAAGCCATAGGATCCACCATCCCCAATAGTAAGCTATTTTTATGGGTGGTATTCCAACTATGAATCCATATGGCTGCTTTATGATTGCTTTGCCAACTTTGATAATGATTGTAGAGCCCCCATACGGTTTGATATTTGAATCAAACATGGATGGTTTGTAAATGTTTCATACATATCATATATCAATCCAATAAACCATCAATGGTAAAAGCGGTAACTATCAAACATTGAGATCGTAAACCACACATATGGATTGATGGTTTCTACCAATTACGTATGATAAATTTGGGGATGCTTTGTGAAATTTTGTTTACCACACGAATCACCATTCCATAAACTTTGGTTTACTCAAGAATCCCCATCTTTTTGTAACAGAATCTTCACCACCGACCAAATCACGCTGGAAAATCTCTGGGCTCCCCCCACGCAGCGCGCGGCGCGCGGGCTTGCGCTCCCCCTGAGGAGCTCACGGCTTGGCCTGACTGAGTCCACAAGCAGTCCATCAGTGGTTCTAATTGTACTATAAGTACTACTTAAGATGTTTGTTAGTATATTATACTAGAAAATTACTAATAAATTATTAGTATATGACCATCTAATTAATATGAATGATAGCTGCTTTAGGGTAAAATGATGTAAAATGAAGATTGCAACTATGGGATTCACGGCGAAACATGTGGATTAATGGGGAACTATGGCAATGTTTAAAGGGTAAGCCATGGACTGAGACAGGTTTTAGCAATAAAACATAGAAAATCATTGAAAAGTGTCTAGTCTAAACTATTCGACTTTGGGTTACTCCAAACTATGGATTTGTTCAAACTGTGGGAATTGATTGAATTCATTCCCCCAGAGCACCTCCATTCTGACGAAATGTTGGAAAATCCTCATTTTGGAGTTGCTTCCAACGACGAACCTGTTCAAATTGACCTGAAATGCCCAAATGGTCGGTGTATAGCATTGGATTTACATGGATTTACCACATGAATCATGTTCAATTCTCATGGATTTACTCAATGGGAACATGGCCCCCGGCAGGGACTTGGGTGGCCAAGGCTGCCAAAAATTCACCAGATTCCATGCCTATTGGCCGCCATTGTCCATCCCCATGCGTCACGAATCGAGTGTGTGAACCTCCCGTATTTTTTATCCCATATGATTCATATGGGTGTGTCCAAAAGAAACAGGGTGTATATACCCCTAAACCCACAACGATCAATCATGAACATGCCTAAAATGGCTGTTTTAATAGACATTTTGATGATTGAGTAGGTTTAGGGCTTCCTATTCTTAGACACACCCACGTAGTGAGGTCGGCCACATCGCCTGTATAGCCAATGGGTCGTTCCCATAGCGCTTCGCTCCGTGGTGCGGAAGGCGCAAGGAAGGCACAGTGCCTGGAGAAGTTGGAGATGACACACATAAATTCTTGAGACATAGATATTGATATAGACATAGATATAGAGACATTGATAGTAGATGCTAGATACTATTCGATATAAGATATAGAGATGTAGATACACTTACTGATCTATTGGATAGTTTCCATGGGTTACATTGAGATTTTACACAGTGAGTTCGAGGGATGTTCACCAAAAACTCTCCAACAAAAAATATATGGATTTCACCATCAAGAACGAGGTTCATTTGACCTGACCTTTCGAAATTGAGAAACATGTGCAAAACTCGATTTAAAAAATGAATAGAAATGGACTAAAACTGGATTAAAGTTGATTAAAAAGTGTTTTAAATTGATAAAATATGAGTAATCAATGGAAGATTTCCCCAGCAAAACCAGGTGCCACCCCATAGCCTCAGCTCAGGTGCTGCCAGCGCCACACCAGCGCTGAGTGCCAGCGCGGCATGGCGGTATCTGCTGCGCCGCACCTGCCGAGATCAGCAGGGAATTTCAGCAACGAAAACTGGGGGAAAACCGCAACGAAAAGCTGGTAGTTGAATGGTGATTCACTGGAATTGAATGGTGTTTTCATGGTTCTTTAATGGGATTTAACATGATTTAACCAACAACAATGGTGATTTTTTGGGTAGTATGGAAGATGACGGAATTTTACATCAAAAGTCCTGCAAAACTTAGGATTTCACCAACTAGTTGGAATTCACCACTTGGGATTGGGGATTCATATGACCAAAAAAAAACTCAGGATTTATAAACTGCTGTTAGACATCAAATAACCCCAGCGCTTTGCGAGGAAATGTCTGGTTTCAACATCACAGTGTGGTGTAGTGTCTATGTAAATTTCTGGATCACCGTAAAAGTCCAACAAAATCAACGCGGTCTTCGCAAGTTTAGTTTTGGAAATCATGCTGCTGGTGAAAGCCAATCATCTGCTGCTTTTTTTCTGCTTAAAGACCCACGATTATGAGTGATGCTGTTTTTTCTGATGGAAACAACAACATTTGACCTGCTAACAATGCAACATCTTGAATCCAATTTTGTTGATGACATCATCTGTACTGCTCAGATTGCCGCCTTGATGATTTCAGATCACTCTGCATGTCACAACTGATCTCCATCTGCCTCCTTTCTGGGTGCCATCCGGCCCCCGGCCCAAAAATTGGAATCAGATCGGCGCACCGAAGTTTGCAGTTTTGAGCTTCGAAAATGTTGCCGCCAAAAAAACCAAGATTCGATGGATCCGCCAAAGATGAAAGCCCGAGGGACCGTCGCCAGTATGATTGCGCCATGTGCGACGTCGCCACTTGGGTCTGGCGCCTTATTCTGTTTGTGAAACTCATATTCTGCAAGAAACATAGGCAATCATAGGCACACACTCTCATCATCAACAACTTGATTGTACAATCGCAAACGAACAGCCGCACCACCGGCATCCTGCCCTTTTCCTCACATCCTTCCGCGTCGCAAATGGTGGTGAAACCCTCCTCCTGGCGACGGTTGAGCCTGGAGAACCTCTGAAATCACCAAGACCTCTACCCTGTTCCGAGTTGGCAACGCATCCCTACTCCCACCAAACTCCGTCAGAAACAGTGAATGTATAGATATACATAAAATATACATCTACATATCTATACAAGAGTTGCTGCAACGCATGAGATTTCTGGGCTTTCTGGCTATATCTTCTGAAGTCGTGGATCAACTGTTTCCCCAAATCTTGGCCTCGGCAGCATTCCAGGTGCGGCCCAGTCTGATGGCAATGCTGGGAGCCTGTCAGTCGCACCGGTTGATCCAACCAAAACCGGCTGAGTTCCTAGCGAAAAATGTGGGTCAATGTGGCTTGATCTGCTGTCGTTTCGAAATTTTCTTCCGTGCCCCAGTTTGATGGGCGATATGTTCATCTAAAAATGTGCTCTGACCCTATAGCTGCTGCGAAACATTTGAGTCCATCCCATGTATATATGGAATGATATAGAATCAAGAATCGGACAATCCCCAAAGCCAAAAATCATCTCAATATCAAAGTTCGAGGATATCCTCTCCACTCCACGCTGAGTACAAGCTGTTATATCTTAACCAACCAAGACCTGAAAATACAGCAATGATTTGCGAGCTGAGTTGCTGAAGGTATCACCACATAAGACACCAAGTATACAACACATCAATAACCATACATCAACAGTACAAATTGATATACAATCTGGTTATGTAACATAGCCACGGAGGGTAGTTCAATTTTCACAAAGTGGAGTCAAAACCCAAAAAGAAACCACCCCTTTTCCCTCGGAAATGCCCCCACCTCCTGACCCACTGCCGACGCTTCAGCTGCCTCAGGCAGCCTTTGCCTGGGCGAAAGTCGAACTTCACCGCTGAAAATTGAGGTGTTTGTATATGTATATATATATATACATATGTGTATATACATATATATATATACATATGTGTATATACATATATATATATATATACATATGTGTATACATATATATATATATACACATGTGTATATATATTTATATACATATATACAGATACATATATACATATATAAATAAATACATATATACATATATACATATATACATATATACATATATACATATATACATATATACATATATACATATTACATATATACATATATACATATATACATATATACATATATACATATATACATATTTACATATATACATATATACATATATACATATATACGTATATACATATATACGTATATACATATATACATATATACATATATGCATGTATACATATATACATATATACATATATACATATATACATATATACATATATACATATATACATATATACATATATACATATATACATATATACATATATATGTATATGTATACACATATATACATATATACATATATACATATATACATATATACATATATACATATATACATATATACATATATACATATATACATATATACATATATACATATATATGTATGTGTGTGTATGTATACACATATATACACGTAAATCACAATATAGACATAATACACCCATTCAACACTGGGATTGTAATGATTACAACATTGATATTTTGAGATTGAAATGATTGAAGCATTGATTGGTGTTAGATTTGATACTTTTGATACTTCACCAGGAATCATGGGGACTGAGACGGCAAACATGGGTCTTTCACCGGTACTTATGGGGATATACACCGCAGACCTAAAATGAAATCCAGAAGGGATTCAAAATATTGAGACACGTTTCAATTCCAAACCTATATTTTCTCCATTTTAATGAAGGTTTGAACCACTACTATTCCCCCAGTTGTTTCCGTGGTTAAAACATCGATTCCGCAAGCTCCCAATGGTGGACAAACGGACCGACAACACAGTGGCGTACCTTCTTGGTGGCCTTCGCCGCCTTCTTTTTGGGCTCTGCAGGCACCTGAGGCTGTGACTTCCCTACTTCAATGACCCTCAGAACAGCCAATCTTTTAGGAGGAAAGTAGTCTTCCACGACGACATCTCGATGTACACGGTTTTTTCGGACTCTGAAAACGGATCCAGCCAATAAATTTCAGGGGTGGTACCTGGTACCTGCCGCTGCAACCAAGTTTCATCGGTTCCTTCTCTTCTCCTGCGACGGCAATACCCTAGGTGGTCCCCGCATCACTTAGGGCAACACCAAACGCATCACTTCAGGCAACATCCAAAAATCACACACTCCTCACACTTTGGACGCTCACTTTTTGGGCAACACGAATTTCATCACTTTGGGCAACACGGAAAAAATCGTTCTTATCCTCTAATTACTAGACTGAGCCATTTAGGGTTTGGTTTGTGGGTGGGGAGGGATCATTCTACTTACATCATTACTTGACTCTGCCATTTAGGGTTTGTTTCGGGGGGTGGGGAGGGATCATTCTACTTACATCATTACTTGACTCAGCCATTTAGGGTTTGGTGTTGGGGGGTGGGGAGGGATCATTCTACTTGCATCATTACTTGACTCAGCCATTTCGGGTTTGGTTGGGGGGGTGGAGAGGGATCATTCTACTTACATCATTGCTTGACTCAGCCATTTCGGGTTTGGTTGGGGGGTGGGGAGGGATCATTCTACTTACATCATTACTTGAATCAGCCATTGGTTGGGGAATGGGAGGGATCATTCTACTTACATCATTGCTTGACTCAGCCATTTAGGGTTTGGTTGGGGGGGTGGGGAGGGATCATTCTACTTATACCATTACTTGATTCAGCCATTTCAGGGTTCGTTGGGGGGAGGGATCATTCTTCTTATAGAATGAATTGACACAGCCATTTAGGGTTTGGTTGGGGGGTGGGGAGGGTGTGTGAAAACGTCCTTTTGCTCTTGGCACAAAGACATTTATGCTACACTATGAGCCGATCTTCTCTTGCACCTGCACACCAACATGATCTCACACTATCACATCTTCTCTTGACGCTATCATCATCATGATAATGGTGAAGATGAAGATGAATAATACTCGGAAGAAGAAAATGCGTATAACAAGGATGATGATGAAGAAGATGATGATGATGGTGATGATGATGATGATGATGATGGTCAACATGATGGTCAACCCTTAGTGGGCAACATGATGATGGGGCACCCGCCCTCCGACCCCTCATGATGGTCAACATGATGATGATAATGATGGTGGAATATTTCTACGGTTGACGACGATGACGATGATGATGATGGTGATGATGGTGATGATGGTGATGGTGATAGTGATGATGATGGTGATGATGGTGATGATGATGATGGTGCTCACTTGATGGTCAACATGATGGTCAACCCTTAGTGGACAACATGATGATGGGGTACCCGCCCTCCGACCCCTCATGATGGTCAACATGATGATGATGATGATGATGATGATGATGATGATGATGATGATGCTGATGATGATGCTAATGATGATGATGATGGTGGTGATGATGATGATGGTGATCAGGATGATGATGATGATGGTGATGATGATGATGATGATGGAATATATGTCTACTGTTGCCGACGTTGGTGATGATGATGATGATGATGATGTTGATGTTGAGGTATCCCGAAGCGATGCATGAGGCGTAGCCCGAAGCGATGCACTCGACGTATCCCGAAGCGATGCCCTTTCGACATGTTGGTTCTCAAATTCAGACTGCACACGCTCGCTTTCAGAACTTCTTTTTGTCTCCAGGCGATTGGGATGCATAGTTTTGGCCAGCAAGAAGTGATGAATGCCAAATGCAGTCTCTTCTTCCCGCTGTTCCTGTACATATCGACAAGAGACAAATGAATTCACAAATGGGTGGGTGTAGGATGGGTGTCCTCACACCTTGATCCCACACTACAACATTCTGAACATGCTCACCACATGTCCATGCACACAAAAGTGTTTCACGACATGTTGGTTCTCAAATTCAGACTGCACACGCTCGCTTTCAGAACTTCTTTTTGTCTCCAGGCGATTGGGATGCATAGTTTTGGCCAGCAAGAAGTGATGAATGCCAAATGCAGTCTCTTCTTCCCACACGAAGGCTGCATTCCCAATCCATCGTGTGCTATGGTCAGAAATTGAGAGCCAGTTGGAGTGCCATGTCAACTGCATTGGTAGTCGCAAAGTGCAAATCATCTGCTACCAAAAGGAGCAAATCCTCAAAGGCATGCAAATCCAAATGTACGCGTTGCCAGTGCAACCGAACCGCGTCAGAGTCATCGCCACGCGAGATTGAATCAGCTACGTTGAGATCTGAAGGAACAAAATGAAAGTGCGGTGTCGAAGCGTGCTTTGCTAACAAACTCCAAGTAAAGGACAACAGATGGTTAACTACATCATCACGACCATATCCTTTCAAAAGTGCACAACAACCGGCCTGGTTATCAATAAATGAAAGCCAAAATGAAGGCAAAACGGACCGAAAGAAAACAACAACAATGACCTGAGCGACAATTTCGAGAAAATAGATGAAGGCCTTTCTGGTGCCAAATCTGCGAAGTACTTTATCTGAAATGCTGCCCATTGCGTACATGGTGCGGTCATCAATCCGAATGACAACACCCCAGCCATTGATCAGTGGTTGTTTCTGAGGTGGAGACCAGTGATGCGGGATCCGAGTGTCATGCGGAGAAACCTTCAAGTCTCCTAACTGGAAAAATGCATCTGTGTACACTACAACCTGAGGACCTGAACGGTGAAACGGTAACCACCGTGGGCAAATGTCACTGAGCAAAGACCTCAGGAAAATCAAAGAAGTGCGTAACGGCTTGGACAAAGTAAACTCCGAGCGACTGCGAACATCGATCCCTGCCGAACGAGTATACACACAATGGAGAGCTGCTGCTCCGGCATGTCCGAAAAGAGCTGTGTTCAAGAAGTTGATCTTGCCTGCCACCTTTTGTGCAACTGATGGAGACAGCTGTCCCGTCTCAAGAGCATGGTCCAACATCTGAATGATCTTTTTGACACGGTCTGGACAAGGAGTCAACTGAACACCTGCATTTGTGATTTGAATGAAAACACCCAGCATACGTTGACTGGGGGCTGGAGGTTGAGCCTTCTTCTCTTTCATGTGTAATCCTAAAAGTGCAAATAAATCAGCAAAAGACTCAAACCCAGATGTAGCCGTCACCACAGGTTCAATTGAAGAAAAATCATCAACATAGTGATAAGCGGGGCAAAGAAGTAATTTGCGTGCTAAAAACACTAACATGTCAGCGAGACGATTGAAAGACCAAACTGCTGCTGTTGAACCAAATGATAATGCATTGTGGCGCCAAAGAGTGTGGCCCTGTGGCAAGCTCATGACCACATGGCACAGTGTGGGATCGCGAACAGCTAACTGGCGATAAGCTGCATTAAGGTCGTGACCCCAAGCTATGCTGGTGAACCCCGCCTTGTGGCAAAACTGAGCTGACGCGATAAAATGCTGAATGGAATGATGTGTCGGCACGTCACTCACCTGAATGGTCTGATTATGGAAACTTGCCGACCAATCCTCAATACGGCGAACTTTATCGACCTGTTCAACAGAAAAGGACATGGCTGCGAACAACTGATCACTATCCAAAGGCTGCAGCGGGTGGTCCTGGATGCCAACCATCTGTACCGGCCAATGAGCAGGTGACGAAAAGGGGCCCTCAAGACGACCCTTAGCTTTCTCTTGCAACAATTCATCTAACATGGATTGCCAATGCGGATCTGGACGCAAATGTTGAAGGCGACTGCGAACATGGGCAGAATTCAAGGCCTTGAACGTATCAAAGGAAATAGGGTGCTGGTACTTGTCATCTGTACGGGGCAGCCAGCCTGGACCCTGATGCAACTCTCCGATGACATCAAAACCAAACGTGAGATCTGCAGTGAGATCAGCCAAATGGGTCATGTTACATTGTTCCAACAAATGAAGAAAAACCGGAACCTGGAAAATTTGCGAATGAGGCCAACCGTAAACTGACGCTACATGACCTGGGATGCCATGGTACCACTGTTGAGTATGTTCAGACCAATCATCTACCAAGGCTCGGATGTCTGAGACCACTTCACGCCTCAGTCTTGGCAAATCACCGATTCTCTCAAACATCTTCTGAAAACACTGATGAATCCCTGGCTCGACCTGGGGATCTTGAAAAATTGGATGAACTGCCTTACTGGACAGTCGCCAATGACACCACATATCATGTGCAGGAGGCATAATGGAAGCTGGTTCATTCCATCCGCCTGGGCCGATGCATGCTGATTCACACTGTGCCAACGAAATCATCTGTTGCAAAGTAGACTGTTTGGGTGAACATGGAACAACACTTGCCTTCGAGGTCGGCAACTGAAGCAACAACAGTAAAAGAAAACGTACAACATGCAAATGCCAACTATTAGCGATCATACGGTGTCGGGACCGATCATCGGCACCGGCTACTGCTGTGTATCCTGGACGAAAACCATGCAACTGTTCCTTTGCTTCCGGGGGCAAAACGACAAACTGGTGATTCCATGTGCTCAGCATGGCATGTTCTTGGTATTGCCATGGTGCGAAACATCGAGCATCTGAGAGCCACCTGTGTCGTGTGGCTGGATCGATGGTTCCGCGTTGGCGCTTGGGCGGTGCCCTCCCATCATCTGTAGGAGCAGGCGTTGTGAAACACGGAATGGTCTTGGAGCGATTGACAACTGAAGGATGAAGCCATGTGTCTGGTGGCAACTCCAAATCAGAAGCTGTCATGACTGGTCCGTCCATGATCAACCTGGGAGTTTTGTGAACCTTACCCCACTTCAGAGGTTTGCCTGTGAAAGGGCTTACGTTAGGTTCAGTCCAAGGTTTTCGTGTCCAAAACAGTCGAGGCCGACTGACCAACGCAGTATCTGCAGAGTCCACAACTATTGGTTGAGCTCTGAGGCGTTTGGAAAAATGAGCTGCATCTTCAGGGTTGTGACAAACTACGTTCTCACACAAGTGAACAATAGTCCTAGGGCGCAACAAAGGTTCTAACGACTCGACCAAATCACAATACAGATCAAACTTAGCACCTTCACTGCCAAAACGACCTAGTGCACTAGAGTTAACCACGGAAAAATCTGGGCATGGTGGACCAGCGGCAAACAAGACTAGAGATGTGCAATCAGGATCCAAAGACTTGACTGACGATGCGATGGTCTCGGCATTGTCTGATGAAAAATCACCTCGGTGTTGTACAAATGGAAAATGAAATTCAACAATGGACTTGCACTCAGGGTCAACCTCCCAACTCAAATAGCCTGAGATCTTGATGCCAATATCATGAAGTGCAGTGGCTGCAGACCCAATGCCATCGAAAAATGCCAGTAACAACACTGGCGGATGTGACTGATGAACCTGGGGAAAAGACTCACGTGCAAGGTCGGGTACCAAGTCAGTCGACTCGGCCCCGTGCTGTCCCTACTTGTTGGGAAATGGGTCCTTCCAAGTGTCTTGCTGCCAATTTCCGCCATGATCATGCTGACCAGACTGACGTGTTGCCCATGAAGACCGGTAAGAGTTGTAGCCCTTGCCACGTTGTGGAACCCCCGAGTATGGGCCCGGCCGCCAGTGGTTGGACTTGTATCCCTTGGAGTGCTTGGTATTGCCCTTGGGTTCGAAGGTGGTCTTGGGCCGCATCGGAGAAGCCTTCTTGGTGTCTTCTTTGGCCATATGCTCCGCGAACTTGTCCCAATCCTTCATAATGTCGCGGGCGCCCTCAGCGAATGAAGTGCCGGACCTCATCGACATGCACAAACGCCAGGAAATTGACAGGAAATAAGATGCCAATTGTTCCAATTTCGTCGGTCGGGAACGAAATCTTTGTTGGAGCCAGTCGAAGAACTCATGAATGTCAAGCTCATCTCCAAGTTGGATAAGGACGTATGCCCATCGAATGCTGTTCAGCCCATCAATCAATGCGAACAGGCTTCTTGGCTCCCAGGGTGATTCTGGTTGTTGGACTAAATCACCGTCTTGTAGAGTAAGGACAGACTGCTTCTTTGGAGACCTGGACAAAGGATTGATCTCGCCTGACGACGTAAAGCTACGTCGACTCAAAATTTCGCCCAGTAAAATCGGAGAGTATTGCTTGGATACTCTATGTTCGTGTAATGCTCTGGCGAGCACAGATTCTGCTCCAAGGAGTTCGGACACTGGGAACTGCCTGGTGCGACCATTGAGCAGGATGGAACTGTACGCCTGAACTAACCGATTCCATTCTCCAGAAGGCAGTGTTGTAGGAACCTTATCTGCTGTAGAGGCCTTGGGATCTGTTGGACTCACAGTGCCTGGAGCGGAAGGTGTCGAGCTGGATGGTGGTGACATCTGTTGAGTCCATTCTTTGCATGCCAGCGCCCACATGTGTTGGAGTATCGCCCGAACAATGGGAGCTTCCCGTTCGTGGATCTTGATGGCTGGTGTGCTATGAGACCACCCGTCAATGAGAGGATTGATCAACACCCTCTCAAGATCATCCTGGGTATCTGCTAGCAAGGCCAGAGTAGGAACAGTTTTGATGCCCCTGTCCTCCAAGTACCTGCGGACTTCAGTCCCGGCTGCAGCTGCATCTGCAAGGTCCTCAATAGTGGACAGCCTTGTCATGGCCGTCTGGAGGGACCGTCCGAACTTGAAACCAATGCTGAAGAGTGGCATGACATGTAGTGATGTGGTGCAACAAGCTCCAAACATCCGCAAACACAAAGGAGTGGAAATCCCGCAAGATGTGACATGTCATGTATGTCTGGAACCGTACTGCTCTTCACTGGCTAGGCACTATTGCAAAATCTCGTGAACACGTAGGCCAAAGTAGGACCGGACATGCGTCATGTGCTCTCCAGGTGTAACAGCTGCAAATATAAATAAATATAAAAAAAAATCTATAATTGTTTATATATATATATGATAATCCTCAAAACGGCTTGTGTTGAAAACATGCATGTGACACGTTCTGCTTGGGCAGCGAAGGGGCTGCTGGTTTTTCCGGCAATGGTTTGTCAAAAATTTAGCGAAAAATAAAAGCTGAGGCCAACCCACTGTGGACTCAGTCTTCAACATCAGACACTGAGGCAGAGGACGAAGCGCCACTACCTTCGTCAAGGTGCTCAACCCCTGAAGCACTGCCACTGACCTCATCATCAAACTGAGAAAAACACTTGCGACGTCTACGAAGGTCGCCACTTACATCAGCTACACGGAAGAAACGTGCAGAACCATACTGCCAACCACACCGCGTCCTCCACTCGGACGGGTTATTGGAAACCTCATCGACTTGGCTGCGATGAACTACCTGAGAAGTGCAACGCACGATGAGAGAGGTGTCAGTATGCATAACAGCAGTTCGTAGTGCTGCGACGTCATGATCCAATGTAGCCACCAAATTGGACAAAGTTTCATGTGCCTCACGCAGTTCTTTGAGGTCTCGAGAATCGCGTTGTGAAGCAACTCGTTGAACTGCTGGTGTCGCAGGAGCCGCGCCAATTTGCAACATTTGGGTTGCTGGCATCGAACATGTCGACACGCCACTCAACACCGTGGTGGGAATCCCCTGTGTAGTCACCAATCCAGCTTGCTGGGTATACCGCTCAATCGCGGTAGAGGTCCACCTGCCTAAAAGTTGAATCGAAGGAATGGGCACACCTGCCCGAGCCAAAAACTGTGCGCCTGACACTCGCATACAGTGACCACCAAAGCGTTGTTGGGACACTCCAAAGGCGTCTTGACGTTCAACCTCAACTCCCGCAGCAACTAATGTCTGGCGAGCCTGTTGGATAACCATGTTCTTGGTTGGAACCGTTCCTGCAGGGGTTGGACACAAAGGAATGGTCTGTTTTCCCAGGTGCTCCTGAAGTCGCAGGAGACGTACCAGGTGCCGTTCAGCGGCATGCAAGGGACAAAGAGGTTGACTCTGTATCTGGCACGCACACTGCAGGGAGCGATAGCAAGAACTGCCATCTGTATCTGTTTTGTGAAGTGGAATGAGAATGGAGACCATACCCTCGTTGATAGTCAAATGGTGCATCATTGACGCCGCAAGTTCCAACTCGCGGAGCATAAACCAAATTGACAGAACCATCACGTCACGAAAGTGGGACGGGCTCTCAAAATCGAATGGTTCATCACTGAATCTGCAACTGATGTTGTGAAGGACCAGGGGGTCAAAAGAATCTTTTAATTTGCTAGGTCCAAGGCCACAACGAATTGATCGAGTGACATCTCGGATGACTTGATGCACTAACGGGTCGACTGCCTGACACAAGTGCCGAACCTGGTGTTGGACTGCTGCTTGAAAATATAGTTGGCAACTCCGATAGCCACCCTTCTTGAAACTAGCGCCCAAACAGCGTATGGTGTAGGGTGTCAAAGGAAATGTAGGCACTTCCCAAATGGCACAAAGGGCATGAACTGTTCGGAGGCGAGACTGAAGAGCAGGGTGAGTCGTCTTGGACAACACGTCTTCATCAAGTGCTTCAAGGGACCTCTTGCGATTGTTGGGATGCCCAGCCTCTGCTGCCGCTTGGAAAGAGGCACGGTGTGGTGCCTGAACCGGCACTGGCGCCGTAGCGCGACCACTCTGGACTGGCCGAGCTGGGGCCGGAGCTGCTGCCTGTAGCATGCTCTCCAGTTGTGACTTTGTCACTCCATTTGCCAAAAGGTCACTGGTGTGAACTATCAAGTCATTGGGAGACCTGATACCCAAGGCCAGCAGCTTGGGAGCCAGTTCTTCGCACTGGCTATTCCGCAAACATTGCCATAAATCACCGATGGCGTTCTTAGGACCACTGTTCATTGGGCCCAAACTAGACCATGCATGAAACGTGCCGTGTGGTATGACCGGAAATGTGAAAGACAGTGGAACTCAACGATCCCAAATGAAAAATGCAAAACATCACAACTCACAAGAGGCAATGAACCCAACTACCTGGAAAACCTAATGCAAACTGTCCTCAAAATCGAAACTCAAACTTGACAGGACATGCAAGTTCCACGGCAAGGCCGCTTTCGCCGATGCATGTTCTCCAAAGGCAGTCGCTATTTGGCGGAACGAAGAGACCAATTGCTAAGCCCGAGCTGGAAGTCAAATCCATGGAACCATGCCAGAGGTGCTAGCCCGAGCATCAGGTCAAACTCAAAAACCGGCAGAATCTGCACCATGAAATATGGATCTCAGTTGGATGCCCTGTTCCTCATCATGGCAGCACCGCGGTGGTTGGCCTGGGACTCCAAGGACCAGGCGGATCCTTTGTGCGCTCTCAAAGCATTGCTGCGAGCGGTGTTCTTTTGCATGATGCATTCGCGATAGCACACGTTTGCCCCGATTGGGCTGAAGCTTCGTGCAGACATTCCTGGAAAGTAACTGACAATCCGTGCAGGCTCTGGAGGCACACCAAAAGATGCCATGGCTGAAGCTTCGTGCAGACATTCCTGGAAAGTAACTGACAATCCGTGCAGGCTCTGGAGGCACACCAAAAGATGCCATGGCTGAAGCTTCGTGCAGACATTCCTGGAAAGTAACTGACAATCCGTGCAGGCTCTGGAAGGCACACCAAAAGATGCCATGGCTGAAGCTTCGTGCAGACATTCCTGGAAAGTAACTGACAATCCGTGCAGGATCTGGAGGCACACCAAAAGATGCCATGGCTGAAGCTTCGTGCAGACATTCCTGGAAAGTGGCTGACAATCCGTGCAGGCTCTGGAGGCACACCAAAAGATGCCATGGCTGAAGCTTCGTGCAGACATTCCTGGAAAGTAACTGACAATCCGTGCAGGATCTGAAGGCACACCAAAAGATGCTATGGCTGAAGCTTCGTGCAGACATTCCTGGAAAGTAACTGACAATCCGTGCAGGATCTGGAGGCACACCAAAAGATGCCATGGCTGAAGCTTCGTGCAGACATTCCTGGAAAGTGACGGACAATCCGTGCAGGATCTGAAGGCACACCAAAAGATGCTATGGCTGAAGCTTCGTGCAGACATTCCTGGAAAGTAACTGACAATCCGTGCAGGATCTGAAGGCACACCAAAAGATGCCATGGCTGAAGCTTCGTGCAGACATTCCTGGAAAGTGACGGACAATCCGTGTCCTCACACCTTGATCCCACACTACAACATTCTGAACATGCTCACCACATGTCCATGCACACAAAAGTGTTTCACCCCATAGGTTGATGCTAAATCCTGGGATCTTGATCCAGCGTGGGAATCCCCATTCACCAGTCAAGCAGTAATATCATGAGAATCTCCAATATACTGCCAGTCTATTGCCAGTAATGATTCTTACCAATCTATATTTTATATATATATATAATCACAATAAGATACGATCAGCCCTTTCCATCCCCTGACACACCTCTTTTTCTTCTTCAAGCCTTGAACCAGCGGCAGATCCTGACAGCGGGGCAAGGTCGCCCCTGACATCAGCTGGGATAAGAACCCATAATGTGGTTGTGATATCATGGGTTATTGATTGGTTTAATGGGTTGAAAAGGACAACAACTAAGGATTTTAACTGTAACAATTAGATTGGGATATTTTTTAGTTGGAATATCTTGTTGAGAAAACGACTGGGTATAGCAAGCGATAATGCTTACAACTGTCTTGGGAAATCACCTCGAATTATGGCCTGTCTTTGGCCAGAAAAAATACTACCACTTTGGAGGCCGGCCACCCAGGGACTTGTCCGAATCAGGGAACCCCCTTGGCCAGCCCACATGGATCTACAAATGGTTCCTGCAGTTGAAGCTGGACCAAGGTGTCAAACACTCAGCCAGGCGGCTGAAAATGATCCCTCCCAGGATTTGTGTCTTGGACCGTGAATTTCAAACCAAGTAGAGTGCAAAACATCAGACTTGTTGCTTACATATCCCATCATCTGTCATACTATATTCCCACGTCTATCCCCATCATCTCCCCGGGTATCAAACTACTTCCAACATCTTCCAACTATCTCAAAAAAACACAAACACCTACTAATTCCCGCTATCTCCATAGTGTTGGTTATATATCCCCATCACTATACGCCACCTCCTTGGTGATCTCGCCATCAGCTTCGGAGTCCAACTCGCTCTGGGTCTCCTCGGTGGGATCGGTTTGAAAAAGCTGGGTAGAACGGATGGTATACGCAGTAAAAATGGTGCCATCGTCAGAAAAACGTGGTGCATATTGAGTCGAAATAGTCTTAGATTGAGGATAGTTGGAATACAAATTTTGTTGGTGATTAAACTTGTTTGTTTTGATGTTGAATCAATAGTCCCATTTTTTCTTGGTTATATCATATCCTTATATTTGTTGGTCACACGCGTATACAATTCTTGTTGGTCAACTCCCGTCGAAACCCTTTTTTGTTTGTCAAAAATCCTCAATCACAGTCAGGTCACCATATCAAATTCAAATCCCTCAGTGTTTTGTCAAGTCACCATATTTTTTGCTGGCTAAATATCCCTCTAAATCCTCAATCAGTGTTTGTCAAAGCATCATTTTTGAGGGGCTGGGTATAAAATTCACTCTCTCTTTCAGATTATCAATGGATTGGATTAAGGGAAAATTTACAGGAAAGCCCCATATTCAATGGGAAAATCGATGGTTTCCTGTAAATTTTCCCTTAAACCAATCCATTGAGATTAAATACCCCCAATTTCCTTCGTTCAATCCCTGTTTTCGGCCGCCGGACCCCAGCCGTGTCGATCTCACTCATCGTCTCACCGCCCGTCTCGATCTCGCGGTCCGTGTCCTCCGCTGGGAGGCGTGGGTCACGTTGGGGAAGCCACCAGGAAATGGATCTGGTTGGTGGTTTTAACATGTTTTAACCATCTTGAAAAATATTAATCAGTTGGGTTTACTATTCCCAAGATATGGAAAAATAAAAAAAATGAAAAAAGATGTTCCAAATTAGCAACCAGTGATGGGAATGATATATCCAACCCCCCAAAAAAAGGTGGAAATCTACCAGTTAAAGAGTTGGGATTGCGAAAAATGGGAAGTTATTATTGTAAATCCAAGAAAATTCGAATGGGATGACCAGCGACTATAGGCTATAGTCATCAATTGACTAGCGGGAAAATGGGTGGTTACATGACCAAACAACAATTGGGGAGTTGACCAACAAAAATCAAAAGATTTTCCCACCAAAAGTTGACACAATTCAGAAAGCAGAACGACTCAATCCCAAGAATTTGGGCTTAGCCGGCAAAACATTGTTGTTTTTTTTGTATCATCTCGGTACTAACTTACAACCAGCCAATCTTAAGGGCACCAAAGTGTGGCTTGTCCCAAGAGACTAGGGCTCTTCATCTGCAGAAATTGAATGGTGGGAGCTGGTTTAAAGTAGTCAATTAGACGATCATGTCAGCCCAGTTATCCAGCGGTAGCCCCTGATCAAAAAAAGGAATGAAACCGCAAACTGATCTTACAGTGAATTCATCAAAAGCATCTTGTCTCATCCTTTTGGTCAAATCCTCCATTTTCCTGTTGCTGATATCCCTTCGACGTTGGTCAAATCCCAAGGGTCACAGGCAAGGTCCATTCCGATCATCCATGGGGCAGGTAGGCAAATGCTGGACGTTGGGTAAACGTGTCTCTGTATTCCAACCATCCCCAGTCATGGTAGGTATAGGTTCCTGGCAGCCAGGGGTTCCCACATCATGGGGGTTACAGCCGTGGTTTTCTACCCATCCCCCTGTCACATCCCCCCTGTTGCCGTCGAGGCTCCGAAAAGGTGCTGAGAGTCTCGCCAGCATCCGAGATGATCTGCGGAAGGCGCAACAGGAGGACGTCAGTGGAGGACGAGGTTACAACAATGATGTGGATATAGTGTGGTCTAATAAAATATAATATATGTATATCTACAGAATCTACATGTATAATTGATGAGCTTGCTTGGCTATTGCACACCGTCACTCAATGCTTCCGTGCAGAGCTGAAAAAATGAAATTTGCAGTGAATGGGTCCACAATGTTCACCTTCTAAGAAGATGCTGGCAAGAGGCGAAAGGGAAATAAACCAATGATTACTCAAATTTGTTTGCTGTCGTTTTGCCTTTGGGTTCTCAGGCCCCCCCTTGTTTCACGACGGAAACCTTTCGTTCCCCGTTCGAAAACCCATCGCAGATCGCCGGACTGCCTCGCTGCCAGTGATCTCGGAGTCGCTGACGCCAGAGGCACCTCCCCCCGGGGATTCCTGTTGGATATGACCAACAAGCTAACATTGAGATGAAACAAACAAAGGGGGGATATGACAACGACAAGTTTGTGGACATCTATATATATATATTTATATATCTGTATATGTATATAAATACTAATCGTAAAATCGAGAAACATGTCAATGGGCAAAGTTTGATATTGTTTGTTTGTTTTTTTCGGGATAAAACCAAACATCCCGAGACTACAGCATAGGACAGCTGGGTTCGAAACATGTAGGGCGTAACATGCGAAGCATGTATACAGACTTTTTTGATTTGTGAAATATGTTGTTTTCTCCCTCGCTAAAACGTACTTTGTTGATTTGTAAAGTATGGCTTTTCAATTTGTGAACTACGTGAATGCACACAGCCAACACAATTAAATACTGTTTTCGAAAAAGTTTCCTCCAACCAATATATTCAAGTAGTTAGTTTTTTATTGTGTTTAGCTACTGATGGCATGTAGCCAGCGTCAACCTAAAGGTGCTCTTCCTGTTTTGGAACCCTGGTGGAGGCACGTTCTCACACCCCCAATATATCATCAATATCCCTGGAATCCTAGTTTGGCAGCGAAGCAAAGGCATGACCTACCAATGAGATGCCTGTAATTCTCGTAGTGACCAAGTTGTTTGACATTTTAGCGCTGGGGCGCCTGTGTCGGAGGCCGCACTGCTGGCCTGCTGTTCTCTCCACCTCACTTGGAGTTCCAATCAACCTTCCAAAAGGGATAGTTTCACCAGAACCGGCTTTCAGACCCTTGAAAAGAGGTGGTTCCCATCATCACCAATGATTCTGGTGGGTCTCCGAAAATTTTCCGGGTAAAATGCCCAAAATTGCATCATTAATCCTCATGTTCCCATATGTTCCCTATCGAAATTGCCATTGATCGGGGATTTTTATCCCCCAATTTTTTCAGGTCAACCCTGGTGGGTTTACCTCGGCAACCAAAAGGGGTGACCGGACTTCTTCAGATTCACCGTCTCTCCAGGCGGAGTTGGCCTGGAACGGCGGTCGAATTCTGTGGATCATCTGAAGCAAATGACATTTTTGTATTCAAACAGATTGCTTCCATCCCCAACTTTAGAACCCAACTTTCTGCGTCAGTTCTGAAGATTTTTTTTTGGTTCTGTCCCCAACTCTTGCTGGTTCTTTTGATCTTGTCCGTTGATGCCAAAAACATCCCCAGCCCAAGATCCAGCACCGCTCTTTCCTCTTCCACACAGGCAGGGCCATGCTATTCGTCGCCTGGACTCGATCAACATCGGGGATTGACCTTCACGTGAAGGTCAATCAATGGATTGGTCAGAGGGATTTTAACATCAAGAAACATGAATTTAATGACTGAAAATGGATATATATATATAATGGGGAAACCAACCATACTAAGGTTTCCATCTATTGATCTACCGGAGTATTTAGTGAAAACTAGGCTCTTTACCCCAAATATAAAGGTTTCCTGTAAAAATGTCCCTTCAACATAATTCCGGGATTCAACCCACTCACGACAGTGTTTGCAAGGGATAATCCAAGTGTATTCATCCATTTACATCAGCTACAACTACCCAGTTTTACTGGTGGCTTCTCGTGGTTTCTACATACGAACGGAGAATCCAATGGTTACAACGGTGTATTCCAGGTATCTCCAAGAACCATGGCATGGCCAGAAATCGTCCCGGCAACGCCTGCATTCCAATGCTTTGAACTAGAAGCCCATACCTCAGATGTGGCAACTTGGAACTTGGGATGACAAAAGCTCATGGTGGTATCAGAAATTGGGTATGGGTCCAAATGCTGGTATCTTCATGAACACCAAACTAGTTGCTGCTCATGGATGTTCATCTTGTGTTCAGAAGGTCCCGTCCGTGGTTATTGACCCATACCCAAAGCATGTACCAAGAGGTCAAACATCTGGTCATGATTTTGTCTCAGATGATACAAGTTCAGGTATTAATCATGCTCTGCCAGTAATCAATGCATGTCATCAATGCATGTCTGCTATACAAGCCAAAAAGTGAAACCTACAGGTGGTCGACAACAGCCGTCACCAGCCAGACTTGGGACTGGGTCTACCCATCTACAGCTGCCCCGAGGCTCCATGAATCGGTCCAAGGTGCTTTGACAGGAGCTTGATGGAATGAGCCTGGCCAACGGCAACGCTGGGAAAACTTGCCATGCCAATGTGGGTCTCAATAAACAAAATAGAGCCTCCACGGCTGGCCCCCTCCAAAACAAAAAAAGCACTACCACTCAGATTTCTGATTGTAGATAGAATACGCGTAACCGCATTTGGAAGGTTTTGCGTATCTATATATAGAATATATACATATATACATATATAATTATATGTATATATATATATATACATTGAATTTACATCAATTTACTTGAGGGTAAAGAACTTCCTTTTTAAGGCGACCACATTAACCCTCACCCTCTCCCTGGAGCTCCCAACGATCACGGCAGATGCGTTGGCCGCCAACTCTTCCTGCCGCGGATTCCCGGCTATTGGGTGTATGTTGGGTGCATGTTGGATATACATTGGGTATATTCATTGGGTACATATCAATGTGATGATAACAGGATAAATCCCAAAAGTTACCAACCAACCGGAGTGTTTGGGGCTGCCTCACCTCTACCGAACAACGGCAACGGTTGATCCAGCAGTTCTTTCTGACTCAATCAGGCTTTCTGGGGGTCATCAAACATGGTTGCTTGGAAATCACCTTTAAAAATGAGCATTAAAGTGGGCAAATCATCTATAAATTGTTCCATTATTCGATTACCAGAGGGTATGGATTGACAGGTTCATCTCATAGGATACTTGGCAGTTCATCTACAGAACAACTCACGTTGTCTTCCCTCGGGTAAACCATGGCGAGGACACGAAATATGAAAGTAGACTATACTATTCATGATGAAATCTGGTGATCGCACAGCCAAAAAATCCTCGACGTTAAGCGCTCTGATCTGCTGGTTTTTGGTGACATCAGTTCCAAATATCCCCCATTCTGTGTTGGTCTGCTTTTGCTGGACAAATCTCCCCGTTCTTGATGCTTAACTCCCTATAATCTACACATGTTTCTCGCGTAACCTCGGTTTTTCCTCTTGAACCGCCTTTTTCATGGTTACATGGTAATTTGTGGTGATTTATGGTGATTTAATATGATAATATGGTGATTTACCGCTAAACCTGAATAGTCCGGGTTGGATGTCCATGCCCAAATACATCTCCATCTCCATGTTAGTTATTGTTGAATTAAAAAATAGGATTAATCCATAAAATAGCATTACTGTATATAATCCATATTAATCCCCATATTCACCAAGCAATTTCACCGTTTCAACCACGTTTTTGGCCCCAAAACTCATCTCATCCCTTGCCCCGCAGCAGCGCAGCACCTCTGACATCCCGCAGCGCCCAAAGCGCACCCCGACGCAGGGCCCAAAGGCCAACTTGAAGATGGTGCCGGCAATGGCCTGGCACCATGGGGATTGGCCCAACTGGAAATTGGATGGGTGAAACTCCAATAGACCTGGGGACCACAGCTACGATGGTGGCAAAATGTTGAGTATCAACATGTAGAAAAACCATCCAATGATTATTGGGCTACCCAACTTTGACCCAAATTCTCCCTGTTGATTCAACAGCAGACCCTCACCTTCCGGATGTCGACGGTGGGATCCGGCGCCTTGTCCTTCCTCAGAATGGGGCAGTGTCACGAGAACTTCAGGCACCTGAATTGCTTCAGAATTAGACTACACCTTGAACGTATTGAACTCCTGAACATGTTCACCTACTCCACCCCAAGGGCTGCGCTGACACGACCCATGTTCTGCCGTGGTTCAAAAGCACCGGAACTGGAAACTTCAGCTTCTGCTTGAAGAACGCACCTCTGCGTGGCCAACTGGCACAAGGTGCTGATCAAGGACGAATCTAGTTGAAAGTCATGGATGCCTAATCATGGAGAATTCCTCTGGAAGCTGATTGTCCACTTGAAAATTCTTAATTTACTGCATCCGCCTTGTTGAAAAGGCCAACAATGTCGTAGTCCGAAAAAAAAAAAATGGTGATCCTCCCATTGAATCCCAATTGACTAGGTTCATCTTCCAAATATATACCCTCTGGTAACCAAACATAGCTATTGAAAATTGCGATTTATAGTTGATTTACCAATTAAAAATGGTGGTGTTCCATAGTTTTTTGTATGTTTACCAGAGGGTAATTCTTGTGGCAACAGCCACCATTGCCATAGACCTACGATTTCTGGGAACCTCCAGGGGATATCCAGGGTCCCACGCTGCCCAGCAACTCCCTCATACTCTTGAAGACCTGGTTGTTGCTGGGGATTGGGGCAACGGGGGAATGGCCAAACATGGGGACTTGACATGATTCGAACGAACGAAAATGAGGAAATCATTCTATAAATCCCATTATCATCCCATTATTACAGTAACCATTATTAACTAACCATTATTAACCATTATTAACCATTATTAACCATTATTAACCATTATTAACCATTATTAATAAATTATTAACCATTATTAACCCTCCAGAAAACCCAACAACACTGCGGATCCGTGTAGCTTCTGGTCATCTGAAATGGCAGGGTGCGAAACTTCACCGGCGCTTGGAATCGCCGTCAAGCCATGGATCTCTAACTTTAAGGCACCAAAAAGTCCCAAGATGTTGAGCCCACCAAGTCTCCCTTCCCCACAGGCGCGCCCTCTTGTCACAGAGGAAGAGATCAAAGGAATCCGCCAAAGCGCGCTTCTCGGTGGAGTGCGTGTATCTCCTCTCAAGGGTAACTTGGTGATCGCTTGGTGATCGGGGCGGCAAACATCCGTGGATCTGCGCATTGCTGTTCAAGCTTTCAATGATTGGCATTGACAATTGAAGCAACAATGATTAGGACACGGTCGACAAAAATGGAACAACAACAACAACAACCACGACGACGACGACGACGAGGAGAAGAAGAAGAAGAAGAAGATCCAAATAGTAGATTCAACAAACAATCGAACCAGCAAATGTTCAGTATCGTTGCTAAAACCAGGGCGTTCCAACCAGTCCCCATTTGTGCGCCTTCGCAACTTTTCGACCCCGATGACCTGCAGGAACCCCCCGGTTCCGTTTTGGGTCCACCAGGCTCCCTTGGGAAGGTGAAAAAGGGTGGTTTTTCTGTACGAATCAATAGCATTCAATAGCCACATTCAGTCACATATAGTCGTATTCGTTTGATAAATCATGATAAATCCATATGTTTGATGATTATATACATCATGTTATGTTCTCATTTAATCATTTCGGCTGGGAAAAAATTTACCGTAACATACCGTAAAATGCCATATAATAGTTTGTGACTAGCGTATCTCCACAGCTGGGCGTGAAATGCTCCCTGCATCCACCCCGTTGGCACCTTGGTTAGCCCGGGCACGGGATGTTTCTGCAGCAGCAACTCCTCACCCCATCGTAGCTGCTTAGTAACTGGGCTTAGTTTAGCCATTTAGAAATGGGATAACCCACTTATATAGGAGACTTACTAACCAGGGCTATTGACCACTTACTAAGTGGGATGATTTTCCAAGTACTTCATGATGGGATCCCAGTGGATCCCCCGCACATCGACGTTGGGATTTTTTCTGGAAGACCGCTTTGTCCCGCACCGGACGGTGAAACTATCGGCTGACACGGGAGCTCTGGTGGCTGACGTGAGCTTTGATGACACCAACAAGGGGAAAAAAACTTCTGTGAATGGAGAGTTCAAGTCTCTTTTCTACATGTATCCTTTCAAACATGGAAAATGCATGAAAATGCAACCACGCAGGAAACGTCTGAGGTTGACTCATCTCCTCTTGTTGTGCCCTGTGTTTGTCACACCGGTGCCTCAATTCTTCTCCAAATGAGCCTCAAGGTTCGGATGTCCATTGAGAGATGATGTTTCCTCAAAAAACTAGGGATTTCCCGAGGGAAAATCATCTCCAACACTTGTGTAAAACTCCATGGTGAGACTCCAAAATCCCCATGTTCGCGGTGTAAAACTCCAAAAGTTGCTGGTGACATCTCCCAAAATGTGTTGAACACGCCACCTGAGGTCACCTGATTCAGGTCTCCGGACACACACAAACCACGGCCCATCCAGGGCCTTGTAATCCTCGGAGAAATGGGTATGGCTCAAACATGGGGTACGAATTGACCCACAAGCTCGGTCGTTTTAGCACCGGAACTAACCAACCAATTTTGCGGCACACTAAGTTAGAGCCATACCCAAATCTAGCTTTGAAACCCCTTTTTAGAAGGTATAACTAAACTATCTGAGACTTCAAATTTGTCGTATCAAATCAACCAATTGAAACCAGTGAGTCATCTTTTGGTCACTGGGCCCACTCCTTGAAGCAGATCTTGTCGAAAGAGTGTGGCCTGGTGCTCCGAAGAAAAGGCTCTACGCAAGCTGGGTGCTCTTAGCGGGCACAACGTTGAAATTCCCATCCAATTCGTAGGTGATCATTGTGCCAGTTACATATGTGATGTTGTTCATGTCATTGTCATTGTCATTGTCATTGTTATGTCCATCTACAAATGTGTGTTCTTGCCAGAGACCGGGGGGAATGTCGGAAATATAGCTGGATCATCTACATGTCTGATCTTGCTGCCAGGTTAGATTCCCAAAAGGCAGTATCCAGGCATCTCTGGAGACTATCTACTTCATGACTGGTGAGTGGGATGATTTGGATGATTGCCTTGCTAGGTTAGCTCCCTGTCCTGCCACAAGGCGGGCGTTCAGTTGAGTATTGTTTAAGATGATTTTCTACTTAATCTTCAAGAGAATTCTAGGCTTCTGACGGAGAAGCCTGAACCAACATGGCTGGAATATTGCTGCAATATGGCTGTCTGAAAATGGGTCATGTCCCAATGTTTTTTTTTGGCATCACCTTTTGGCAAGGCCCCATCTTCAGGCCAATGGATCTTGGGCTTTCTTGGGCTTCCAGGCTTGCACTCAGGCGGCAACTCCGGCTTCACCACCAACGTTGCCTCGGTGATGTACGTTCCGATGACGAAAGATGTGGGTGGCCCCAGATAGAAATGGGGGAATTGCATGGAATTGCAGGATTGCTTGCTCTGTTTCGTTTGTGAGATCCACATGTTTGCAGCTGAAGTGGTCACTACAAATGTCATCCTCTGGGTCAGCGATGCCGTTTGAGAAAAATACAGGGGCCGGTTTGGTGACCGCTCACCATCATTTACCAAGAGAAGGTTGTCAAAAACGAAAAGAAAAAGATGGGTGGCTTCTCCTTCATTCAAAGAATCACTCCGACAAGGACACCCAAAGTCAACTAAGTCCATCTGTCTGAAGTATTTCATGAATTTCTACTGATTCATTCAGCAAAAATTTGGGGAAAACCATGGGAGATCCCACCATCCAGCTCCCCATCATGGTTCCGGACATCGCTGCCGGGAGCCGCTTTGTCGCCCAGCTGTTTCCTGGCTCCGAAAGGGCGTTCTGATTGGCACAAGCTCCTTTAAAAAGTGGGGTCTAATCATTCCAAATAAAAAACTACCAAAAAAGGAGCACATCGTCCATCATTCAAGAAACATGTTCAAAGCACCCAGAAAAAACCCTGTGCCTCAAGAAATGCTTTTCAGAGGCAGCCGCTGAAAAGCCCACCGGCGCCTGAGATGACGGCGATGACAGAGAACCAAAGAACTCAAAAAAGTCGATGGCTTTTGGTATTCTTGAACCATTCGAATTATTTTTTTCCATGATCAGAATCATTTCTAGAACCATTCTACTGATCATAACCCTGTTCATAGCCATCATGTCTAATGGGTTATACCAGGCTATACCAGGCTATACCGGGTTATACCATCATCACAGCCACTGGCACCTTCGCGGGACGCCCCAACGCCTGCAACGCCTGGGGAGATAGCATTGGTATAAGCAAAGAAGACTTGAGGAATTGGAACATCTGTGTAAAGTGTTAACAAATGTGGTCATAATGTGGTACAATGATCTGTGTAAAGTCATTTTTTTTAGGTCTGGCATTGAGAATCTGAGAATGAGAATCTATAACAATGATTGGTAATACAGTAATGGGTGCTTCATTATCTTTCAACTAACGATTATGAGTATTTCAAGCACTACTTGGTCTGGTTGGCCATAAAAATGGGTTCTAAAAATGGGAGAGTAAGCAACTATATTTGATTGAGTGGATAGTTTGGGAATCTGGTTGATGTTTTCAACCCATTTCAATCCTGCTGGTCCAATGGGACCTTTTATCATGCTCCAAGGTTGAGAAACAAAGGCTATAATATATTAAAAGATCAGTGAAACATATTGAAACCACCAAAAAAAATGTCATCATATCTTATCTTCATATTTTTCCATATATTTTTTGATCACCTTCCTTTCATCACCGGTCTTCGCTAAAAAATGACCTGTGAACACTCCATCCGGCACCTCGGAAATGGGTTCCACGGCACCCTCCATCCTGACGTCGTGAAAAACGACCACGTCAGACGTGTCGCTGTGCCGGCGTGAAGAAAACCGAGGTTTTCTTGAAAAGATGAAGACATATCTAATATTTTTGTATGTCAGCATATCATATCATATATCTATATATATATATCTATGTTCATGAGATATATTCTAATATGGGTGTATAGGAGATTATATGTAATATTACATGTGTATATATATATATACATATCCAGAAATAGTGTTTGTATGCGTCCTACTATATATCATCTGTTCCAGGGCATTTCCATCCCACCACACCTTGCCGCCCAAAGATGCGGCTCTCTCTCTCTCTCTTCAATCTTTGGGCCAAAATCGTTGCAGGGCGCGACTAAGGGAGGCGGCAATCTAAGACAACGGGGATTTAAAGAGTGTATATAAGTATCTATATATATACATATTTCAATATATTTGACGAATAATGTGAGATGCCGATTTGTACACAAATGAGGTATTTACCCAGCCTAAACGGGAAGAGTTCAGCATCAAGACTAGGGGTTCTCAACCAATAAACAATGGATGTGGCCTGTCATAACTCGTCTATCTGTTGGAATTGGGGGTGCTCCATTATCTGTGAGGAAACAAAAAGATACGAGATGGTACGAGATTTGGAACTCAGCAAGCTCCTTGTATGTCTTCTGAGGAGTCTTCGACAAGAAACAGACCTCCGACTTGTCTGTGTACCTTCGCATGTGTCGAACATTAGCCACTTTGATCCGGAAGTTGGGGACAGGGCCATCACAAGGAACTCAGCTGCGGTCCGTCTGTTACATGAGGAGTCTCAGTTCAAAATTGATGGCCCGAAAATGGAACACGTTTACGAACGAAAAGTTGCCAAGTCATACCCTGTGTCCCAAATTTTGACCCTGAACTCTCGGCCATTTCAGCGGCGCACAAGGGATGAGGCCTCGGCATTTGGCCATGCAAAAAAAATGGTGGACAGTATGGGGTTGGAACCAACAGCAATGGGGTTAATGGACGTTGAACTTTATAATATTTGGATGATTTGGTGATTGGGCCAAATATAAAAACTTAAGATAACCAAATAACTCTGGATCATTGGAACCAACAACTATAGAACATCTTGTAATATCTATAGAATATCTCTGGAACCAACCAACTATAACAACTGCAGTTTCCCACAGATATCCTGAGCTTCCCGGCAAAGGGATCACCGCCGGGTGTCCAAGCCTGGCGCGAAAAAACGGGTCCTTTTTTTCGGGGACCATGGGAGTAATGTCATCAGAAGACCATATGTTATACTTGGTAAGTTGGGATAAGCACTGATTTTCCAACAATGTTGGCTGGCTATAAAAAAAATGGGAAATGTGAGAGGAAAGCCATGGGTTTTTGCCATCAGATATTTTTTGGATAACTCCTTTTTTCTTTTCGCATACGCTTCTGGAACCATGTTTCAGATTTTGATGGATTTATGATAACTAAATGCCTCTGGACATTCCAGGTATTTTGATGGAGGTCTCACTCATGACTGGGGTCTTCTTGAGGAGTTGATCGGGAGTTGATCAAACCCCGATCAATGGTCCCATTGTGTCACAGGAGAATAAACACCAGTAGGTCATAACATCATCCCTAACCACATGTATGTATCTGTAAATATATATATATATTGTATACACACAATTGCACATGATATTGTCACTGCTTATCCAAATTTCCTCATGACCAATATGGTATCATGTTCATTTTTTGTTGGGTTCAATTCCATTCGACCCCCTTAAATCCCACTAACCAGCCGGTTATCATCCCTGTTTTGGTCGCGCTGTTTCTGCGAGGTGCTTCTCCGGGATCTTCGCCAGGGCGAAGTGCAGCGTCAAGGTCCTGATGGGGATGGAGAACATGGGATGGGATCAAGAAATTTCATGGGATTTTTTGAGGGAATCTACTGGGATTTACTGGTGATGTGCTGGAAAGTAGTGGGATTCTCATATTTTTTGGGAAGGGATGCAACCACAACAGGGACTTCACCGACAATGGTGCTGAGATGGTGATGTTGGGGATACAATGGGCCAGGAATCATAACTGGTTGGTAACTGGGGTCGGCAAGTCCTCAGAAAAATGGAATCAGTGGGGACTTGCGATCACCAGGGTTATTGACCAGCTACTAAGTCACTGGGATGATCCCCAAAGTACCCCCCTTTGGAATTGAAATTGGGGATAACCATTCGATAACCACCGCAAGCAGCAAGCACCAAGCAGAATTTTTATACAAATTCAGAACATCATGATAAACATATTGGAGCAAACTTATTTTCTGACAAACCCATTGTTTTTAAGCATACAGCAGCCGCTCTCCCGAGGTATGTACTACCAAAATACAGTAGTCCTTATAGGCTGTTTTTGAAAGTTGGACATTGGTGCGCACCAGACTCTTCGTTTCCAAAATCTGACTGATAATTTGCTTCAAACAATCTTACTTACAATTTACATACTCATAATAGTCACACATATATGTTCTACACATGTTCTGCAGATCTCCATGGTTTCCCCGGTCCCCTTCCAGGAGTGCACCGAGGACCACACTCAGTGGCTTCGTTGAAGAGCGGGTTCTGATTGGCACTGCGCTTCTCAACGACCTCCGCAGCGCTGATTTGGAGATTGCTGTCAGAAATTGAAGCTCCAAAAAATTGCATCAAAAAAAATAGATGGGTCCCCATAGCACCCTATTTACCCACATACTCACCAGGGTTCCCAATTTCTTCAGGCTGAAATCACCGTTTCTCGCAGCGCTCACGACGCGCCGACCTGCTTTAGCGCCCGCACGGCCTTTTGCACCAAAGCCTCTCGGCATTCGCCAAACATCGGGAGTTGATCAGCAAAGATGTTGGCTGAACCATTGAAATACACATGGGTAAAGTATGGGATTGAATCCTCAAACACATGAAGATAGGATATATAGTGTACCCTCTGGTAATTTAATATAACTATTGAAAATGGCACATGTATAACATTTATAATTGGTTTTCCCATTAAAGATGGTGATTTTCCATAGCAAGCTGTTAGTTTACCAGAGGGTATCATCAAAAACTCGCAAAAGGAAAATGGTGAGCCAAGCAAAATGTGAAGTTTGCCAAGCATCAGCCTGAACTTCGATCAGGATTTCATTGGAATTCACCATTCACATCCATTTTCACCATTAAAAGATTGGGATCTAAGTTAGATGACCATCAGATGATCCATTGACCATTAACATCCGTTACCATTAACATCCGTTAACCATTAGATCATCTAACCATCAACAAATACCGGGGTTAAGCAAATGAGTTACGTTTTCAACTGGATTTGGAGGTGTCCAGTCATCCAGGTTTCCCACCATTCCGATGGTCGAATGCTTTTCACCAGAAAATCCCAAGTTGTTTTTTGGATTTGTGAATACCATGAAACTCATCCTGGAAGTATAAACGGATATGTATATATATATATATATGTATATATATATATGTATAAATATATATATACAGTGTATATATATATATATATTTATATATCATATGAATGCACATCAACCCACCATTCTGGTGTGGAACCGGGATAAATTCCATGAAAATCACGAAACCCAAACCCATTTTTCACCTTCTTCACCTTCACATCGCTGTTGACGGCCCCTGTCGGATCACCACCGGTGGGAATAAACGGATGGTGTGAGTCTCTTTATTAGTGAGGTTTCTCTAATTTTTTGGGGTTGATATCTTGTTCAACAAAAATCAACAAACATGTCAGTGGTAGCTGGACACTTGCATCTCTGTTTGTGGGGCATCTCAGCGAATACTGTTTGGGTTCGTTGAAACCTGCTGAAAGCTGTTCATGGAACCAGTCCAGTGCTCTTCTCAAAATCGTAGTGCCCAGTGCCAATTCTCCATTTCTCAACCGCGGGCATGCTCTTCAGCAAGCATGTCAAGAGATGTTAAATACTGAATTTTAAAGTTCACAGTTGAGGCTGTCATGGTCGGCTGCGACACAAAAAATCAGTTCCAAACAAGAATAGCTAGCCCAGCTCAAAACTGACAAACAAAAAATGTACATGTCATAATCTTCAAAATCCCGGACCCAAAACAAAACATCCCAGATTTTCTGCATTTCAGTCAGGAAAAGTCGAGTCCTTCGGGTGGAACCCCCCAACTGCTTTACCCCTCTCCAGTTCGCCTTCTTCTGCCGGTGCTTCCTGGTGCGTCTGTTGTTACAACTGAAACAATATTAACATGTCAGGGGTGCAAAAACACTTCAAGAGATCACATAAGATTCTAGAAACCAATATATAGGAACAACAATTATTATCACATCATAATAACAACAATAACAACAGTCATCATCATCTTATTCTTCTTCATCATCATCAGCATCATCATCATCATCAGCATCATCATCATCATCATCATCTTAGTCTTCATCTTAGTCTTCACCTTCACCTTCATCTTCATCTTCGTCTTCATCTTCGTCTTCATCTTCATCTTCATCTTCGTCTTCATCTTCATCTTCATCATACTAAGAAAAGTAACAATAGAAACAGCTACGTAAAAAGCACCGTGTCACCCACATCCGCTACGTCCGCTACGTCCGCCATCCTTGGACGCCATCGCCGTCGCGTGGCGTGGCGTTCGTTTCCGGCTCTAAGAGCTGAGCCCAGGCAGCTGTGATGGCTGTCGTGGATCGTTCATGGCCAATCTTGGATACCACTTATGGTAGGTGTATAGCAACCCCCAGAAAAGGACATCATTAAACTAGTAGAGATTTACTTTTCTATCTTGTTTGGGAAGACGGGAAGACTATATGGTATATATATACTGTATATATATAGTTAATATTCGTTGATGGGGTTTTAAAAACAGATATGGAGATTTCCTAAGCCATGGGAGTACTCCCAAATCATCCAAGTCCGTAATGACCATGACTCATGACTTAGTATTGGTTAACCGTTAACCCATGTTGACTTGAGGATCCCCCAATTTAGAAACACCCATATATATAGTATTAGGTAATTGTATGCCGTACATCTATGGTTGATATTAGTTGACTGGCTTTATAAACCAACGAACGGCTAATAGTGGATGATGGGCCAACAGTTGATATTGGCTGATGCGGGCGTATAAGCCAACAAACAGATTTATACTAAAATGGCCAAAATTAGTTGATTGGAGTTTATAAACCAACCAACAGTTGATATTGATTGATGGGGGGTGTAAGTCAACAAACAACTACTACTAGTTGATGGGGTGTACAAACCAAAAAATACCTTCCTCTGGTAATCAAACATGGCTTGATGGACATTTCCCATTCAAGGAGAAAAAAACTAAAGCCCCATCAACACAGTTCGAAGATTTTGCAGCTTGACATTCGATTACCACAGGGTACCGGGTAGGTAATATGTCTACTTACGGCAACAGATTAAAGATATTAAAGCATTGAACTACCAAGGCTACCCAGTTTACTTCTGAAACATGTACATCCTTCACAGAACCATGGCTGACTGGGATATTATCACAAAAACTGTTTTACGGTACAATATTCCATCAATTGCAGTGTTCTAGCCAACCAAATTAGAGTGCATAAGCCAAGCCGTGTATTGATCCAGTGCCTCTTGACAAGTTTGACCAAGCTTTGGCACAGAGGGTTTTGAGGTGGTCTGATACACTCATGAGGTTTCCCAAATCTTTGCCGTCAATTTTCATGGGAAAATCCCTCGAGAAGCAATCCTACAAATGGGGGATTTCCATGGATTTTCCCTTCCTTCTTCCCTCCCTTTTTCCTTCACAGAAACTGGACCTGCATTGCCTTTGGCAGAGCAAGGCTCATGGAACCGTGCAGAAAGCTGAACCCCGCCAGATGGCGGAACTGCGCCAAATATTTGAAAGGGGGATGAATATCTGATGGATGCTTCAAACTCAGGAATTCCACAGGAAAATGCACCGAGGGATTGGCCCGGGAATCCCAGATCGTCTTTCGGGTTTCTGATGTGAAGTGAGTTCATGGATTTCTACCTCCAGCAGATCACCTCAACCAAGTTGGTAGTCCCCAAGCACAAGGAGTTGGTTTCCTGGTTGCGATGTTTCCCAATTGGGGTTGTGCCAGTTGCATTCAGGTTGGAGGTGATAATTGTACTTGTAACATCAAAATTGTCCTAAAGGTTGTTGCATTCCAAAAAATCCTCAACCCTCACAATTCATGGCACATTCCAAGTCCATTCAAACTTTGTTGGTACCTTTGCGACCCTTTGGCCACGTCTTGGAAACATCGGGGTTTCATTGTCGGGGTTCGGCTCATCTTCCGCATTCGAATTTGGCGCGTCGCATGTTGCTGGCCTTCAGGCAAGCGGTCAGGAAGCCTCTCCGGGTGAAGCTCTCCTTCCATGTCGTCGTTGAGCGTCGGGTGAGGTTTCTACCCGAAATGAACAAAAGGGGGTTGTGTGAAAATAGGGTACCCCAAAATTTGATGTGTGATTGTCATTTCCCCATCACAATGAACTATTTGGGCATGTTCAAAAACAACCAAAAAATGTTGTTTGATATTGGGAAACTGGGTCTTATGGACAATGTCGTTTTAAAAATAATTCTAACCTGGGACCTAGTTCTACTGTGGCCCTTTTGTTGGCAAGCAATCCGAACTTGAAGATCCAGCTTTGGAGAATCAATGTACACAACCAATGAATAAATCCAACACCGACAAAACCAAACACATCCAATCCGCATGGAGGTGGAGTTTCCTAACATTGTTTGGTACGCAGTGGAAGAAACATGAAAAATCAATGTTTCATGCCCGGTGCAATCATCCCTTACCGTTCAGCTCCACAACCCCCATCCCCTCCGGGTGTTCGGGGTCGATGATTTGCATCAGCCGGCGGGCTACCTGCGGCAGGGCACTTGGTCACACACCAATATCACTGCTGGTGATACCACATACCAATTTTGCTACAAAATCTTAAGCGACCTCAAGAACAACAATATGATGTTGCTACAAATACTGCTGGTGATACCACATACCAATTTTGCTACAAAATCTTAAGCGACCTCAAGAACAACAATATGATGTTGCTACAAATACTGCTGGTGATACCACATACCAATTTTGCTACAAAATCTTAAGCGACCTCAAGAACAACAATATGATGTTGCTACAAATACTGCTGGTGATACCACATACCAATTTTGCTACAAAATCTTAAGCGACCTCAAGAACAACAATATGATGTTGCTACAAATACTGCTGGTGATACCACATACCAATTTTGCTACAAAATCTTAAGCGACCTCAAGAACAACAATATGATGTTGCTACAAATACTGCTGGTGATACCACATACCAATTTTGCTCCAAAACCTTAAGCGACCTGAGGGAACAACAAAATGATGTTGCTACAAATTTTCCAAAAATGCCGGACGGCAAAAAAAAGGAACACATATTCAATTCAAGTCATCCTCTGCCAGCAATAAAATTCCAACATGACCTCGCGCAATTCGTTGCCAAGTCTACGTCTAGCGTTCCTTTTTGTAAATTTTGGGGAAGCTATAGTTGTCTGTTAAAATCCAAATGCCATACGTTGTCAAGTGCAATCGCCCGGCCCTTCAAATTTGGAGCCTCTTGGGAAAGCAGACCTTCTCGAAGCAGATCACGCTCACCGACATGGTCGTCCTGTGAAACACGCTGGACAAGATGAGCCGCCCGATAACTTAGCAAGATTGGGGTAGCTCACACGTTTAAGAGTTTGATGGGCCGCACAACCCCGCAGGATGACAACATTCTATGATAAGAACAACAGCGTCGTGTCTTGGGAGAGGCCGCGCACCTGCGAAGTTGATGTGGGTTCACAATTGCAACATGTGGTTCTACTTCGATGGCAACTACTGGATGTTACTTTTGCTACAGATGTTTGCTCACTGGCATTGGCTGATGGTCGGTAGGCTCTGGCCTACTCCTGTGCAGCATCCGTTTCGGGTGCGTGCGCGCACAAAAGTTCATTGTTATCATTATTATATCTCTCCCGTTCTCTTCTGGTGGGTTTCATGCCATCGCCGCGGCGCGCCAACATCTCTTGCCTCGTCTGAGTCCAGGCGTGTGAAGAGGTCGTTCCTTGAAGCAGTGGAGCCAAACATAGAACAGTGGGCGTTTGGCAAACCCATTTGGTGGCATGGTATGTCATGTCTTTGCACGGCACAGCAACAGCCCCAGCCCTTTCGGCTCCAACCTGCCTAAAAAGACTTGCTGATATGTGTTCACCTGCCCTGGCCTGCAAACTGCAAAAATCCCTACGTTCCGCTCACCAAGCCACCAGTAGTTCCACGTCGAATCGGGTATCTCTGGGAGAAGCGAAAACGGCATGGGCCTTGGCTCGCGACCCATGCACTTTGCGCACACGCACGCAAAACCCCGCCACCTCTACATGCTGCGCCGCCAAGAAAGAAAGGCACCAAAACCCAGACGCTTTTGGTTCGTCTTTTCTAGGATCGTTGCTTCCTGCTGCTTGTCAAGTTGGCATGCGATCATCGTTGTTGTCCTTATGTTGCTGTCATGTCGACAAGATCCCGAAGCAACCAAGTGCACGTCCCTGACTCAGCACCTTATTCCCAAGCACCCTCCCAGTACCTGAGCACGCCCTGCACCCAGAAAACAGTTTGGGAACCCCGAAGAAACCAAAACCAATTGACATCAATTGACACATCCACAAGGGATTGTCCGAAAGTAGTGATTCACTGGTTCATCCTGATCCCTCATACAAAAATGGAAATGTTGAGGCCTGGACTTTCAGATATGATTTGCCGAGTCATTAAGGGCTTGCCGGCCACACAGTGTCCAGAACAAGGAAACTCCATAGACTTCTGATAAATTTCCAATACAGTAAACACATCATATCCATCTCGCTTCACATTTGTCGTTGTCTTTCTCCCTCATCTACTAAATTCGTACAGGCGGATTTTTTTTAATATTTTGGGCTGAATGACAATCATGTAGCCAACCTGAAATAAGGTAGATAGTAGATATGGGATACCCTCTGGTAAACTAACATAGCTATGGAAAATCACTATTTTTTATGGGAAAATCCACTGTAAATGGCCATTTTCAATAGCTATGTTAAATTACCAGAGGGTATTCCTCCTTACTCAAATAGCCAATCTACAGTGACGTCACGATGTCATCCGTGGTCAGAGATCATCACCGCACTGCCAATGGAATGGATCCCTCAAACCAAGAGTTGGGATGTCTGGATGTCCCACAAACAGTCCGGGCGGTTTGGAGGGAAAATGTCATGAAACGCACATCTGTGTAGGCTACAGAGTGTAGCATAGATTCTGATATCTTGGTTAAACCAGCACATGGGCAGCTGACAATGAGGATATAAAGACAACGACATGTGACTGTTGGGATTTCTTAGGTGCGAAACAGGGACAGGTGACATGACCCAACCGTGGGGGGATCATTTCCAACATTCCAAGGCGATGTTCGATTTTGTTCACAAGACCAACATGCACCAACCTCCTTCAAGCGGTGGAAAATTATGCATGAACTATTTCAAAGAGAACAAATTTCAAAGTCCTCTTGAGGCACAAATCAATGGGTGGATATGTGTATTGGCCCTCTCCAAATCAAAGCCATGAAATGCATCCGATGCTGAAATGTTGTTCGTGACCCCTGGAATGGTTTGCCCTAGATTTGTGGGATGAAATCATTTGCCAATTCATGTCGCTTGGATACACATCTGCAGCACTACTCAACAGTCATACACTGGCCTTGAAGCATCTGAAACGGGAATGAAGGAAACACAGATACATACACTCATCATAATTTGGGATGCTTCTTCATTGCCGTAGTTCAATAGATCTTTAAAATTCTTTAAATATCTTTGAACATTCCTTTCCTTTGATCATTGTCGTCCAATTGAAATGGTCGAAAACCCTGGCAGAGGTTGATTGCCCACTGGGGGGAGAAAAAAATAAACCATGGCCATTTCATGGCTATCAGAATTTTCGGACACGCACAAATGTCAAGATTTTATCCACCGAATTGGGGATTCCACAAGAATTGAGATAGTCACAGCATCTCCTTCTCTCTGGTCACATCGACCATGAGGAAATGGGTCAAAGGTTCAAATGCACCAACAGAATGTCGGATGTTTCATCGGGGAAGCACCCATACTTACCGACCTTTGGATTTCCAATGCTCAACATTTTGCTTCATCTCTTAAGGTTTGAATCAAAATCCCACACCGATGGTTTTTTAGGGTTCCCATTTGGAAGGTGAGCAGAGCTGGCATATTGATTGGATTAGTGGTGCTTGAAACCCCCCCGGAGTTGAAGGCGTACGATCCCACCTCCATTTAAGGCATTTTATACCCCAAAATGATGGCTGCTTCAGGCCTCAAACCATATGTTTCAATGGTTTCAACCCCATGTTTTATCATGTTTGTATGTATCTAATCCCATCTTCATAAAGTTTGTTAGTCCATCCTTCCCCATAACAAAAAAAAAAGTATATGGGTGTGTCTGAAAATGTTGTGTACCCCTAAACCCAATGGTTTTGCTGATCATTATTTCTATTAAATGGCTATTTCATTGGGAATATACTGAATATACCCAACATTTTCAGACAAACCCATATATAGATGAATAATTAGTATGAATATATCAATCTATCGTGTCATGTTTGAAACCACCAACCAGTATATACCTCTGATAATTTAACATAGCTATAGAAAATCACCATTTTTAATGGGAAAACTCACTATTTCAATGGCCATTTTCCATTGCTATGTTAGTTCACCAGAGGGTATACACCCAAGATCAAAACCCCGAGAAGGGGCAAATCCATCCGATCATCCTTCGCATCCGCGGCACTTCAGCTTCCGCCCCGAGCGCGAGGTGCGCCGGTCCGACATGGCAAAGAGATCCTACGCAGGGTGGCGTCGTGGGGGAACAACTGGAACAACCAGGCCGCCATAGAAAAGGCTGAAAACCTGGATTTATAAGATTTATATTATGTTTTATATGTGTTACATATTTTACATAAATGTTCTCAAGCCTTTTTGTTTGAGGATTTGCTATTCCTAATTCAACCATATGTCCCAAACATTTGACAGATTGTTGGATATGTATCCTCATTATACAGTATATATCCCCATTAACTACCCATTACACCACTATTAAACCTTGAGCGTGGTAGTTCGATGATGTTTTCCCCACAATTTCAAAGTGTTCAACTTTTTTCTGCTTTTGTTGGGGGGTTGACTGTAAGTGTATCTGTTCCCTTTTGGCCAATTTTGGTGGAAGTGGCCAAAGCAAAAAATGGGAGAGGGCAATTGGATGCGAAAGGATATGGGAGCATCATCCCCATCATCCTCATCATCCTCGTTATCTTTTGCTTCCGAGCCATCATTCTGGTGGCTTCGCTAGCTTCAATCTCCACCCGCTAGGTCCTCTTCATTCGAGATGGCGTCGGACAAATATCCTAAAGCAGGAGAAAATCCACGAATTTCACACGAGGTGCAGTTTGAAATGGCCAGTTGATCAGTGAAAAATTGCATGTTGACCAACAAGAGATGGAGATGTGATGGATGCCAGAGAATGCCAGTGTCCGAAAAAATGATGATATAGCCCGATATAGCCCCAGCAAGAAAAGTGTACACAAATACACAATGGAATAGATATGAATAGATGACATTTCACTGGAACTTTTGCTTGTCATGATCACCCACCCGTACCACCCCGTACCATTCCACGCCAGGATGCTGATACTGCCTGTGAGGAGCATGCCAAAAACATCTCGGTCCTGGCTTTGCTTCGTTCGAAGGAAAAACGACCCCAAAAGTCACCCTGTTGTTGGTTTCGCTAACTCGGTGATATTTAAGATGCACCTTCAATTTGATTTAATCATCATAGACATCATAGATGGAGACTTAAGCAACCATTGAATGCAACCATGATGACAAGAGAAGCAACAGCAAATGAGGACTTCGCCCAGAAAACATGGATCAATTGGTTTGGGACTAGACCCAATGATGCTCTTGGAGCAAAAGAAAAGGGGTCGGCGGCATGAAAAATGACCCCTAAAAGGAGGAGAGATCATCTGCAACCGTTCGACCGTGATGCGAAAAAACATCCACAGAATTGGGATCATCGCAAATCCCTCAAGCTGCCAGTGCCACTTGAAAGTAACAACTGCTTGGGTTTCTGAGTTTCTACCCAAGCGGTGAGCTTAGCAACATCCATCTTTGGTTGGCTATCTTCCACAGGGAATACGGGCTGTCACAAGTGAGAAAAATGAGTTCATCAACCATTCTATGAGGAACAAACGACAGGCTTTAGAGGCAACCCCAAGTAGCAACTGGATCGACACGGTTTTTCCTTGCAGATATATAGATAGATCGGTAGATAGAGATTTCAGAACACAAGCAACAACAGACAAGTGACTACATGTCACTACAGTATTGATCCAGATTTCCTTACTGGTGCTAAACGCAGGGAAATTTCGGGAATGATCCATAATCACTAGCAACCCATCCATTCCCTACGTTTAGCACCAGTAAGTAAATGAACAAAAGTTGGGTCAGTTACCATTGCAGCCCACTGCATCCCCGGCACCTCGCCCTGCATGGACGGCAAGCGATAGCCATCTGGGCACATCATTCGCAGGAAGTCGCCCTTGTCGAGACAACCTAAAACGCTGCCGCGGCCGTGACCGCAACGCAACTCATCGTTTTGGGGTGGCATTCACCCTACTTTACATCCGGTGAGAATGCTTCATAAATAGTTCTAAAATGGTCTAAATAGCATTAAAATGTATTAATCAAGAACTTGGTTAGGTTTTCCCATCACAGAATACATAATTAATGACAAATTGATAGGTCGTCGTTAGCCACAAACTTGCTATTGTCGAACCCAAAAACAAACAAACGGAAACCCTAAACATAGACCAATCGGTGTTGTATCATAAGAACCATCTGGTAGATCCCAAAGCTTCAAATGTTTGTGCCAGCTTGCAAGGCTTGCAGGTGAACTCAACGGAATGTCATGGCACCTGATTTCACAGCAATGTCATAGCACAAACTTTGGAACCCCCTCCTTTTTTCCCCATGGAAACCTCCTTTCTCATCATTTTCCCTGCCATTTTTTCCAAGGCCCACACCGTCCTCGGTCAAATCCCACCTGGGAGGCAGGCTCCAGGCTTGAAGCTGGGTTGAAAAAGGTTGTGTCTGAGCGAGTACAAACGGATTATCACCATGTTTACCTCAGGAATTGCCAAGATCACGTCATCCCTTTCTACCGATAGATTGGTATGGAAGGCTGCGACAATCTCCAATCAGCCCTGCCGTTTGGCAGCCAGTCCAAGTGGCCATCAAGATCATGTTCAGCTGTTCCCAAATTTGTTGGTGCATATTCTGATATTCCGATGTCTTGCTATTTCATATGGTCCAAGACTGGGTACCCACAAACGGGATTGTTGAATATATATATATATATTACAAAAATTGGCAAAATATGTGGTCCCAAGGCTCTAAAATCTCGAAGCATGGTTCTTGTTGCCGTTTGAATTGATCTTCTACAGAAAGTTCCGCACGATTTGCCGATAAAGTCCTTCGTTTCTTGCTCATTCAACCTTGTGAATGACCCATTTCATGTTCATCACCGGCCCCTGCCTGTTCGCTCAAATAAGTTCTTTACTTTTGTTG